GTACCATTGTGATTTTTCCAAGTCATAAGTACTTTATAAAAGTATTTAGACGCCACTGACAGACGTGAAGGAAAAAATCGTGAGGAAATAATTTCCAATTAAAAGTTTGAAATCGTCAACTCGTCTTGACCAAGCGTGGTGATTAATGCTCAAACCTTCTCCTTGTGAGAAGAGGCCTTTCAGCAGTGGGCTCTGATAGGCTGATGATGATACAATATATCACATTGGAAGTACGAGTGGAACATAACAGCTCCTTTTTTGTAAACGTCTATCAATATAAGTGAACTTCCATTTTAATATTGATGAGAATCATTGATGCGTACCTCCAATGAATTGTTAATGCAGTACCATTTGTTTACAATGTCGGTTAAATGTAAAATAACTACTCTACTTACTACTATTTAATATTCGTTACACATTTTAATTCCTATTCTCAATTTTATTTGAATTAAGATAATTAATCGGAAATATTGTGCATACAATTTAAACAAATTTGATTGGATGACAGCTAAGTCTCTCTAAAACCTACTAAAAGACTTGGGCCTGTCCAGAACTCACATTAATTCATTCTTGGAACGTACTTCGAAGACAGCCTTAGTAAGTACGTTTCAAATTTAGTTAAGTAGAGAGAGGAGCTTGGACGGTGGAGGTGAGCGTTTAACACGCGTTAGATAGGGGTCCCTTAAACCTACACCTGGGTCACAAGTCCCAGTCACTGTTGAAGCTCCTCTCACTACAACGATGGACCCGACACACGCACCGTGAATACATTGAATGATGAGAGGTTTCGTCTCCTCGTTTCAGTTTTTGACTGTGGGTAGTTTCATCAAAATTGGTCAAGCAACAAGGAATTTAATAGAAACAAACAAATAATAATTACTTAATATAAGACGCGACTTGGATCAACGTAGAAGATTTTAAGTATAAGTTTTATATGCACCAAAAACGTAAAGACTTAAATGTATGAACTCAAACCAGTCTTACAATAAAAAAAAACTAGAAAATGCATAATATTATACATATATTAAACACCTTGACTGTTACCATTAAACTTAACAAGTTATATAATAAATATTTTTTAATTATTCGTATGAATAAAAATAGATATAAAAATCTCAATGAAAGAAACCAAGTTATAATTTACGATGACACCTCTCAGCTAGTGAAAGTTTCATTAAAATGAGTCCAGCCGTTCCATAGAATAATCAGAACAAACAGACAGATAGACGGACGGAAATATAAAAACGCTATTTTAATATAGCGTCTTCTTCTACCTGGCAATTTCCCAGTTTTAACCAGTGTCCGCCTTACATGTTGTGAATAGTTTTGGCTGATTGTTTTTACGACCGGCCGCCTGCCTGACATCAACTATCTTCGAGAATAATATACATATATATGTATATATGCACCGTATATAAATTAATTCATCCCTACTAGTACCTACTAATATTATAAATGCGATAGTAACTCTGTCTGTCTGTCTGTTACGCTTTCACGCCTAAACCACTGAACGGATTTTAATGAAATTTGGTACTGAGATAGAGTTGACCTTGAGAAAGAACATAGGATAGTTTTTATCGCAGCCTTTTGAAAGGTTCTCTTGGAAACGCGATATAACCGAACTCCACGCGGGCGAAGCTGCGGGTGGAAAGCTAGTAGTAAATATGTTTAATTAAATATTATAAACATATATATTAAGTTTTTAATGAAAACTTCACTCTAGTTGAAACCTTCCGCAACAACTAATTCATTATACTACAACGCATCTCCTATACGAGTGAAGCCGGGTACATGTCTTGTATATATGTATGTATGTCAGTTGTTAACGTAACAGCGCCGTATCTGGGTCGTGTACGTCATCTCACGTGTTACGTAACACGTGATCATTTCCTTGCGTGTCTTCCTAGAGAGTTATATTTAAATACACACACACACATACATACATATATAAATAGTCAAAGAAAAAAAACATTATAATATATATATCATAATGTTTTACGAGAAAAATCATAATAGTTATGTATTTTAATTAAATTAAAATAATATAAAAATACGTTTTTCTATTGTACATAGTAAGTAGAACTGTATTTATACAGGAGTTCATCGTTTAGAGTTTAGAGTGTTTATTTGTACGTCGATAGTAACGTGTACTATAATTACTGCGTGTGTAACTAGAAACCGCCTGTTTTCAGTTTGGAAATGCAGACATGTAGTAAGGGTAATGAGATCCAAGATAATCGCGAGTACTCATTTAAATGAAACTAATATTTTGCGGATTATACTACTATTTCATAGACCGTGATCACGGTTGCTGTAAAGTAGCCGAAACGTCGGGAGTATGTAGTTTATAGTTAAAAATAAAAAATCGCGTAGTAAAAACATAGTACAGAACTCATATTTATATGTGTAAATGAAGTGACGGGACTATTAAAACAGAAGATTTATTAAAACTTATATGTACTGGATATATTCTAATTTTTTAAAGACATCTTTATTTCATATAAGTTCCATACACACAGTATGTGTTCAATAACTGTTAAGGTATCAATGAAAGCAGACGGAGTCGCGGGTAAGAGCTAGTAATATATAATCCAGACAGCATTAAAAGTCCTAACCACAATAACCCACAACACCGCTATTGTTACTTCACAAAATATATCGTTTTAAAGCTCACAATATTATTTGCAATTCGACTCTCTGTCGGGAGCCTTTGTTCTTCTGAACTTTATTTCGGCAAATGAACAGTTCTTAAATCTAAATATGTTTCTTTAAATTTTTATGTATGTCCGTCTTTTGTCAGACCATTTGGGGCCATGGAGTTCCTTTGTGGTATTTTTTTATGATTGTAATGGGCTACATACATGTATAAAAATTTTATGGTAAAATTTAATATCCATACAGTCTTAGTTTCGACTGTTCGTGTCAATGAATTTTTATCATACATTTAATTTTTTCGAACAAATTAGTAAGTATATGTGATTGAAACAAAGCTACAATAATTTGTAATTTATATACTAATTTTTATGTACAAGATATTATTTAAATCTAATAAATAATTTCTGGTATCAAACAATGCTTTGAGACGTGGTAACTGAGATTGAAAATCAAAAAAATAAATATCTACATTTGCATAGGTGGGGGAAACGGCCATAGATTTTCAAATACAACTTTGCTGTCCTAACTTTTCTTATATCACTCTTAAATCGTCATATCAATGGAGGATACACTTGTTAGTTTGAAATAATGTCAAACTAAATTAATCTGACGAGTTCAAGACAATTTCTAATGGTCATTTTTTTACTTATACATGAGGTTCACGTTTGGTGAAGGTACTTAACAAGGTATCCCCCTGTATATTAATCTGAAACACCAGTAAATCCCGAAATCCCCGCTATAGCTCACCTACTATAATTAATTACAATATAATAACATCAGAAACAGATGATTAACATACATACATGGCGTGTCGCCATTGTATTAAAACATGCACGCTATAGTTATGTATATATTAAAACATTTAGGATGATCTTAAGCCGCTTGGTATTCGATGTGTGACTGGATAAAGAATGGAACAGGGCTGCGGTGTAATAAATATGAATGTTTGCATGTATGTTACATCATCAGCCTATCAGAGCCCACTGCTGAGCAAAGACCTCTTTCTCACATGGAGAAGATTTGAGCATTAATCACCACGCTTGCTCAAGACGGGTTGGTGATTTCAAACTTATAATCGGAAATAATAAGTCCAGGTTTCCTCACGATGTTTTCCTTCATCTGTCATTGATGTTTATGTTACATTATTATACAAAAACATAAAAATTAACACGTATTTAATCCTGTATTATCTCCACTTGTGGTTAATTTGATTATTTGGGTCAGATTAACCTCAGGAGCGTAGGCAAAGTCATGTGCAAAACCTTTATTTATGAATGATAAAATATTTACGCAACGTATGTAGTGACGATGCTGACTTGTGGTAGGTATTTCAGATCTCAAAACTTATCGAATTATACTACGAAGAAGGAAGATGATTGTTAAATGTACCGGTAAAATATGTGAATAAAATTATTATTACCTAAAACATTTAGTTACAGACGTTGTATATCTGTAAGAAGCACATTGATTTGTGGTATGGTAGACAGAATATACGATTGAAAAATAAAAGTTACCAAATTCTAGTTTACCTAGAAAGCATAGTATTTAGATGAAAACGTTTGATAATATTTCTATACCTATCAACTTTCGCGTTGTACCTTTCAATGTTTAACCGAAACCGTTTATTTAAACTAAACTCTATTTTATTTTTCCGAAAAGTTTGCATTTAAACAAGATTCAACTGTTTATCTGATAATACATGCTTCGCGATACCTTTATAAAAAATGTATTGTACAAATTTTTCATTTTACAAATCATCTTTCTAAAACATAATACTTTACGTAAGTATTTGGCAGAATATCACAAAAGCCAGCTGAATAGACCAAATTCCCAAAGTAGCCGAATATACGCTGCCAGCCTCATATACCTGTATATAATTATTTTATAAAATATGTTTTTTTTTTTAATTTAATCTCTTCAAAAGTATATTTATTATCCATAAAAGAATAGATGATTTAGAAAAACAATATTTATATGAAATCAGAGCAATAATTTTCTAAATATTAATTGTGAACACCCTATTACTCGGCTCTATCATTAATGATGCAACTACCATCATAATAACATCAGTATATCGAACACCCAACACCAAGTATCGTTTAACATCCGTTACCCTCAACCAATCACTTAATTTCAAATAATTAAAAAAATCATTTACATCCTTCAATAATCTCAATTGAACAAATAATAATATTAAAAAAAAACTTACCTTACAATATTAAGAACACAAAAAAATATAAGCCGGGGTCAATGACACTTGATGTCAAAATAAAAAAATTAAAGTTCACTGTAAGAGATATATATAATACATAATATGTAACATCTATATAACATATATGACTTACCAGCTCAGCTACTATTTTCTTGTCAAGTCGCTGGCATTCATTCATCGGCTTTATGAATGTATGGGCAGGATTTGGTTTCGATGGCTGTAAGAAAATATATATACATTAGTATACAAAAATATATCTTATATTAACATTTTAAAATACCTTAGTTTTTATAATATATAAAGAAATATAATTGATAGGAATCCTAAGAATAGTGAAATAAAAATGTAATATGTCATAATATTAAAATTGTTATCTTGCAAATATTCCTTGTATCTCATTTTAAGTGAATGTAAAATTCTTATGAGAAATAAAGTTCTTTATACTCATATTAGCTAATTCTGTTACAGATTTAAGTAGGGTAGGTAAGTAGGGTTTCAGGAAAGATATTAGCTTAAAACTAATTTTGACATATATTCCTTACATGTAATCACATAAGATCATGATTGAGGAGAAAAAAAAATTACTTCACCTACTTCAGAGCTAAAAAACATATCAGAGTATTTACTATAAAATAAATAAAGCTTTAAAATTACTTAAATTATATAAAATTAAGCTAGTATTAGTTGTTGAGCTATAAACGAAATAAAAGAACTAAAATTATTTACCCAGATATTTTAATTTTATTTAATTTCGTATCGTAATAATAGAAGACTGAGAAAATATTTAAAAATTCTAATAAATACATATATATTAGTTTTTGCCCACGACTTCGCGATAATTCCGGAATACTTTTCCGCTCTAGAGGCCGTATATAACCAGATACTATAATTTATTTTAAGTAATTTTTTTCATTTTCAATTACACAGTATTAAATATCCCATGTCCATCTCCTGGTTCTAATCTATCTCCTCGCAAATTTCCAACCATATCCCTACAGCTGTTCTTGAGTTATAAATGGTGTAACTTACACAACTTTCTTTTATATATATAGATTGTATGTATTATGTATATATGTATATACCTTCTTAACTGCCTGAAGTGCTCGGTCGATATCCTTTATGGAGTGTATTGACACATCCAACGTTGAAGATTCATGTTTGTCTTCTTTTGAGGTAGTTTTCTTAACATCTCGTTTCTACAAGACAAAATATATTATCAAAATAGCTGGATCAATTTTGATGAATTTTAGTATAAAAGTAGCTAACAATCAAGAACTGCTTTATTTATGAAAATAATTTTGATAGAGATATATTATATGTCATATGTACACATTTATTTATCATTCAATAATTCCTAGCCTTAAATTAATCTATATACCAAATGTACATAGAATAAAATTTATCAATTTAAACATATATAACTATGATTAAAATTTTCATCATAATTTACAAAGATAATCAAACTTTTTAAAATAATTGTTACAAGATCCACAGTAACTCAAATCAACATCTTTACCTTTAAAAAAACATATAATCTTCAATATTGCATGACATTCATTTACAAAATCCGTAATGGCTTTCAAAAACAATATTTTTTTAATAATTTATACAAGATCCACAATAATAGAATAAATACTATATGAAAAAAAAAACATATAATTTTAAAAATTACATGACAATTAGGTTTAGAGATCCTTATTTTCCAAAAAGACACAAAGTCACTTACATGGAAACAAAAATTCAAGCAATATAAAAAATGTCGTTCTTAAGATATAATTACATAACGAGTTGGTTTACTTATTCAATGTATTCAATTTACAAGTGGGTAGTTTTGTATAATATATTCCGATAGTTTAGTTTTGAATACATTAAATGAGTTTACAGATTTTAAAGTGGACGGCAATTTATTATAATATTCACAATTGATAGCTACTTACAAAGGTATGATGACTCAAATCATCTTCCCAGTTATTTATCTGGTCAGCGAGGGCTGCCAATCTCCCACCTTTCCCCCTACTTTTGGGCTTCTCGGTCTTTGGTGTCTCCTCTGGCACCGAGGGAGGAGTATCACAAGTGAACTGTTGTTCTGTCCGATGTATAGGCGATGATAGATTTGGTTTATCTGAAATTATTCAATATATTGCTCAGAAAATTCTTCCAGGGGCTTTATGTTTAATTATATGACTATCCTACATTACTAGTTATCATAACATTATAAGTTAAATTATTTAATAAATATATGTCCTAAATTATATTTAGGAACCTTAAACCAATATAGATATTTACAGAAACTATGTTAAATAAATTACTGTATAATACATTGCATATCAAATATTTTTTTAACATTATATAAAACTTCTAAACTTTGGTATATTAACACTCCCAGTTGCAACAATTCTTTGTTTTTATGCATCGAGTGTACCATATGAATTGGCAAATTACCCAACAATATTTTTATAATTGTATTATTGTTTTAAGTGAATGTAAATTCTTTTTAAATAAAGTTCTTATACCCAAACTATCAAACTAAGTAAAATATAAATATAAAATGACGTGATATTTCAAGTTTGTTTTTTTTTTTAGTTATAACAATAAAAACCCAAAGATATGTAGATAAAATATGAATTTTACAACTCCTATTAAAAACCATAAGTTATCTTATCAGTTTTACTTCCACATCCTTTAAATTTTAACTGTTCTACAATATTAGATTAAATGTTTACATTCAAAAATATAATTAAAAACTTACAAGATATATTTAAAATTTTAAAAATATAAAATTTATAAATTTTTATTTGTATTTAGTACTATAATTTAGAATTCATAACTTTATTAATGGGTAGTTCATACCTATGAATACTTATATTATTATTATTTTATTTATTATTTTAATTCTAAGTAAATAAATTTAATCCAATTTAATGTATATTATATACATAATCACAATATATAGAATAACTCACCTGAATACAAATTTCCAAGGCGATCCAATCTTGATTTAACATTCTGCCGAAGACCAATTTTATCATTCTTCGTCTCCATATCTATTGCCTTGATTTCCTTTTTGGGACTTTCATCTAAAAATAATTAAATTTTAAACATAAGAGGTTACACTTTAAACTATTAAAACACCTATTAATTAATTATATATATGTTAGTAGGAAAAATTTCTTACATATCATATGAAAATGTATTTTCCTTTATCTAAAATTCACACCTCTCTTAATATAATTATTTGTTACAAATCAATCACTGTGTATATATTTTTTTTATTCACTAAACTTCATCTTTCAACATGTACTAGTATAACTAACTTTTCCAAAATGAAGCATTTTCTGAATTAATATTATATATTAATGTTGTTTACATACAAATAATTTGATAATTATTCTTGGAATCACTTCAATGAGTAATTTTGAAATGTTTGTAACAGGAAAAACAAAAACAATTTATCCTATTTAACTTTCTGATAAGAGATATTTACTTAGTTCATGGTATATTAGGTAATGGTGCTTTAACTTAATTGTTTATACAAAAAATATATTAAAAAGTATATCTAAGTGTCATATTCAACGAAAAATCTTTTATGTGTTATATATATGTGTTAAAAGGTAATTACAATATTATAAAGGGAATGTTTTGCTCAAAAACTAACTTATCTTTGCAAGAGAGCATTTTCTTAAAGAGAATAAGGATATACATATTGTATTACTGAATCAAATAGTATTTGTCAATTTATTTAGTAGATAAAACATGATAAAATGTAATATAATTATATTTTGAATTAAATGCATATTTAATTAGTTATTTTAACCCAATTGACCTCTCTAGAACATAATAATTAACTAATTAGTAGATTTTAATGATAAAATTTGAATACTTAAAGAACTTAAAGAGTTCTTTCTTGAAATGTCATAACAGAAGTAAGTTACTTCTTGTGTATATAAAGACATATTCAATTGATTATTAGAGACTGTAGTTGTGGAAATTGAAGCATTTTTATTTAAAAAATGATAAATGTAATAAAATGATATCTTTTTTGTTGAACAAATATTTAAAACTTTAGAGAATAGACAAATTATATTAAAAAAACATTTTCATCAAGTGAATAACACAAGAGGTGGACTTATAGTTAAATAATTTATAGTTGAACATATTTTTAATGAACAGAATACTTTGTTGAATAGCTTGGAAACCAGATATCTTATGTTAATTGTAGCCACAGGTTGGCCTTGTCACATTTGCTATGGAGAGATCATAAAATCCTGTTGCACTAACTGGTTTGAGTACTTAATCCAGTATAAAAAGATACTAGACACATTACATACCTTCTAATTCCTTGATTATTACATTATTGGCGTTATCCAAGCCAGCGTCGTAGGTAATACTGATGGGCGCGTCCCTTTCTTCAACCTGTACTTCGATCTGGATGTCGTTTCTATGTGATATATTTATCTCAACAGATACATCGGAATTACGTCGAGTGAGGCTGCTCTTGCGACTTTTAAACTCCTTTTTTGTTACTACAATATCGTTTTTCACTCGCTGTGGCGATGTATAATCTGATTTCTGTATTACTTTCTTTATAATCGGTGTATCGCAATTAACTGGCTCTTTGGAATTTCTTGGCGATGATACTTGTTCTTTAGCTTTAATGGGAGATTTGACTGGAGATGATTGACTTGTAATAATATTCTCTTGTAGTGGTTTTCGTTTTGGAACAGCTTGACCGGAATTCGCTAGTTTTTGGTCGATTCTCTCCTGTCTAGCCCGCGCTCGCTCTAACATTCTCTGTAGAATTTTAATACAACTTAGCTTTAACTTAAATACGTTACGCTTCTTATACCCGTTACAGGATCTCGACTAAAACCTACCTGAGTAAAAGGGTCCATGTTCAAAAATAGCTTATAACTTTGATATATAATACACAATCACACAGCACACATAATATCAATGCAGCTTTTTTTTAATACTTTAGTAAACGAAAATAAAATTCATTGATGTTAGATCCGTTTTCACTTTCAACGTAATTTCAACCGTTACTACTTTGACATTAACAACAAACCGAAATTTTTGAATCCATAGTCAGAACGGTTAGGCGCCTTTCAACAGAGGGCGTTTGTTAGTGTGCCACAGATAAAATAACGCACAGTTAACAATACAAAAAACACAATAGTTGGATTTAAAGGAATGTTATTTATTAATAATTGTCCATCTTAGAATTAATATATGCTATTCGCAATTTATAATATTATTAATCATATATTTTTTGGTCATAACTAGCAATTTTAGTTAACCATACCGAATAAAATTTTTGTATGTAAATTTTGTGTCCACATAAATAACATAACATAAATATGTTATATTTAAAGTAAGGACCGATTCGGAGTAATATTTTTTTTAAATAAGACTTGCTTAATTGCATCAATTAGATTTACACAGCTAATAACAGTTAATACACAACTTTACGATATTGCTTGAATATTTTAACAAGGCGCTACATATGAAAACTTCAAAAAACTTGAAGTGCTAAACCGTACCACTTTATTACATCAAGGGCAACAAAAACAAACAAGTTTGTTTTGTATTCCAATATACTGAATATTGAATAGATATAAAAATATATTCTTTAGAACCAAGCCGTACGCTTAAAAAATAACTTCTAACTTTATTTTCTTATGTTATAATATAAGTTGCATTGGTATAATATACTTTTTAGTGGGGTTCCACTCTCTAAGTCCACAAGTCATTCAATATGAGAATATTTTTGTGTGTTCTTTAATAGAAAATTACAAACTTGATTTAAAATATAACTTGCAAACAAATGCTTATAGTCTATAGAACAAAGAAATTAAAAATAACTTATGTTGTAAAACTTTAACAACCTACAGTATAAAGACAGTAAGCAGAAGAATAAGGAAAGGCGTTTTTCCTTGTTTCCAAGTTTTATTGTATGTATAGGTGTAATTTAATTGGATAAATAATGGTAGCTGCGTCTGTAGTCATTCCACACATGCTCCCGAGCATTGCCTCACGACAAACGAGACCAGTACAGAGTATACACTCACATATAACGGTTGTGTGGAATATAATAAAAAAACAAACAATGGGTAAGTTTGTATTACAAGTGTATTTATTATATGAATTTATTATCTGTGGTACAGATAATTATTATTGAAAAAAAATTACAGATTATAAAATATTTAATTATTTTGTTAATTAAATTATTCGATGCTATGAAGATTCGTTAAATATATATTGAGATTAAAACTACTTTCACTTTTATTTTTAAGTAAAATGGTTCTGATTTAAATAAGTGTCCAAATTATGCCGCGAAATTTTTTCATGTAAAGCATACATATCTTAAAGTGTAGTGTGAAAACCGTTTAAAATTGATTATAAACAAGTACCTAATCAATAACACAATAAATATACAATTTAAGAAGTTTTTACGATTTATAATGTGCTCGAAATTTTTTTACACCATTTAGACCTTACATTGTTGGTTTGTTTAAAAAATATCTGATAGTACCTATCAAGTTTTATGTACAAATATTTGCTTTACAAATTTCCAAATTTAAAAATATTCGCTAATAGTATTTTTTCAGAATAAAATAATAAAGTACTATCCATTATTTAGATAAGTAATAATGCTTTCAAATTAGTATGGACTTATAAATTAAACCGCAGCTCTAGAGAGCACCAATAACCCGATCACTCTTCACCTTCACTTTATGTCAGGGTCAAATTGTCAATTCATACAACGCTTTATTATATTATGACTCTTTGTCAAAGTTTTAAAGACTAAAAAAGTAAAAAAAAGGAAAATATTCTTGCGATATGATTATATTTGTAGAAAGAAAAACATTATAATTACAAAATGTTTTAAATTAAAAAGGCATGAATGCTTATATTACATTAAAATTCAAAATTCAAATGGTTTATTTTAAAAGATTATATATTAAACATTTTAAATATGCTAACATTAGAATATTACAACAATATAAACTGGAAACACTTTAAACATCAAAAGTCTATTAAATTCTTACTTTTTTCTAAGACAAAAGAAATAACTCACATGATAGTCATAAATATAACAAACTTTTTGAAAATCGGTTTAAAAAGCAGATTTACTAAATAAATTTAGATTTCGTTAAACAGCTTATTCACAAATGGCAGCCACTGGGACCCCACAGATAACTAATATTATATGTTTGAACACAAACTATTCTTTTTCTACTTAGGTATTTATAATAATGTATAATAAATTACGATTATTATAATAAAATTTCCGAGCAATATTTGTGATGTATATTTTGTGTTATTCAGAAAAACTTATAGTTTATTATATAGCAGAATATTGAAAGATTCTATGGTATTTTTATTATATTTTAAACAAAAAATTTTTAACGCAGAGCAAAAGATAAATAAGGTCTCAGCTTCTTAAATTAGATGAAAAGATGCTTACAGATATCTCACTATCAATAACTTTGTGAGGAGGTAAAATCGGAAATTTTTGTTGCCAGACACTAGTGACGTAATTTTCTTTATAAACAGTTAAAAATATTAAATTTCTTAAGTTAGATGTAAACACTAAGTTATTTGGCTAAGTAACTGGACCGCTATATCCTGGAAATAATCCATTGCAACAATAATCGTTACATTTACGAAATTTTCACGTTGAACATCGCTAAACTTATTCATTATAAGGATACTCTTATATTGTATACTGTAAACTGCATTATAAAATGATGCAAATTATGACAAAAGTATTAAAGCCAGTGGCCCATTAACAATGTAAAAAAATCTTATTAAAAAATTAACTTCCCATGTCGCTGAAATCTGAATAATATTTACTTCGGATCATAAACTCACTTATATATAAGAGTGTGTCAAATACACTTAATATGAAAGAAAGATTAATATATTAATATGTCTTCTACTTGCTTAATACATTGCGTATAAGTGTAAATACTTTAAAAATTTCAACTTCATTCAAGTCCCCTTAACTAATTATTAGCTTCTGTATGCTTAGTCCAAGATTCCATCGTCACTACATACCTACGTAAAATTTCCCGTTTCTCATTCAATAAACTACGTTAATACTATAAAAAATAATGTAAAGTTTATGAGCGAAACACTGTTAACGCTACGTATGTAGTGACAATGACAACTTTGAGGTACTTCACTTGGCCGCCGTATTAGCCGCATACGTCCAAATATTTGTACGTAGTCCAAATAACGCAAACACGACATCCACACTTGGCATGCCAACAACACATTACGCGGTTTCGCTTGTTTGTGTATGTGTCTTATTTGTGCAAATATGTCAAATAAAGACGAATATATCCTTCACACATGGTGTTATTTTGCGAAACACAAAAAATAAACAAATAAGTATTAGTAATTTAATAACCTCACAAAAACTATTCTTTGTATTATATTTGTGACTAATAAGTATCATCTATCCTCCATTATTCATCAATCATCATCTTCAGAGGTACCTACCAGTCATTAGAGTGATGACGTCATTAACACTTCTCAAACGGTGTTGCCCTAAATATGTATTATCAGTTTAACATTTGTGTTTTTATTTAAATTTACGTAATAATTTTAACATTGTTTTGAAATTAATAAAATAATATTTAATCATATAAAAGTTTTGTTCTCGAAGCAATTACTAACAAACGCCATGTTTAAAAGGGTTTAGTCGATTTTGTTGTTTTATTGTTAATTCCAAATAAAACATACCTCTTATTAGAAAATATAAGTTCAAAATATCTTTCAACTTCTCAAAATTATATTTTTTTACATTCATTCATTATTATTAATTTATATTATGTACCTACATATGCGAACTCTTTTCGATTTATATACAGCCAATGTCAATTTAATTTGATATTGGCGGGAAATATAATCTATATTATAGATAATTGTCCTCCATTATAAAGATACAAATTACTATTATTTCAGTTAATATATATGTAAAAGAAGTTTTTATTCGCTACTTGACACTGTCAGATCAAGGCCCGCCTGATTCACAGGGAATTATCCAATTTAATATGAACCTCGTAAGGAAGTGGAAGACTTCATTACATTTGTATAAATGACTTCAAGCGTAGAATTATACAAAAATATACATTTATTCTTAATTTTATTTAATGGGAATGTTTTTTTTTTCAAAAAACTATATAAAATATATTTAATATTTATTTTTATAACGAACACTGCTGTTAGTCCTAATTCTTTTTAAAATAACTCGTAGGGAGAGAGGCCCGTGCTTAAAGAAGCCTGTTCTTAAGGAGCCCGAAGCCTGAAGGGCCCTCAACATAAAATACTCAATCTATATTCTATACATATAATAAAATTGTAGAAAAGTGCTGTCTGTACATTGAAAATAAAAATAAAAAAAATAGCAGGGGTTATTGTTATGTCGATGTCGAACCCAAAAATGTTATTAACTTTTTTTTTGTCTGTTTGTCTGTTCACGCTAATCTCAGGAACGGCTGATCCGAGTTGGATGCGGTTTTCACGAATATATTGTGGTATGCTTCATTTATGCTTTAGTGTTTGTTTCATGTCAACCGGTTCATAAATAAAAAAGTTATGTCAAAAAAACGCTGCTCATAGTCACTATTCCATGCGAACGAAGTCGCGGGCACAGCTAGTATTACATAATATTGCATTTTGATGAAGTAAAATTAAATAAGACTATGAACCTTGGTTAAAATTTTCAATAACCAATTTCTTGTTGAAGTCGTTTTGTCGAACTAAACCGATTCAAATCTTACAAAAATATTACGAATAATAACTATTTGGCAAACAGTGATTATTATCGAATTATATAGTATATACATATTTAAACAAGCTTCACCTGCAAATCTTAAATTATATATTTAAGTAGAGCAAGGTCATATATGTATTAAGACTAATAGAACTGACATTAAAATACTAACTAATTATATCTCAATAACGACAAGACAAATATATTTTATACGAGCATAATTGCAATATCTTTGTTGATTATATTAATAAAAATTAAAATTTCTTCTAAAATCGTAGTCATTTAAATTAATTCTATTATATCAGTTATCTGCCAGTGAAATTCACATCAATATTGGTGCAGCAATTTCAAAGATAAGACGGAACGCACAGAAAAACAGATAACTATTGTAAAAAAATATATAAACTATAAGATCCGTGTATATTAATATTATGCATTTAGTATGAAATGGTAATTTTAAAAATAGGTACAGAAAATAAGTTTATTTATTAGTATTGATATTAGGGACTTCCCAATATTAGTCTAGAAACCTACATGCTTTATCTAAAGAGGACGCGAGTAAATAAACTTTGTTAATAAACTTGACATTTAGGAACGGGTTATTTATGAGCAAGCTGAGATAAAAATAACAATAAAATAAATAAATTCAGTTCAATCCTTAGTTAGTCATCAGCCTATCAAGCCCACTGCTTAGCCTCTTCTCACATAGAGAAGGTTTGAGCATTAATCACCACGCTTGCTCAAGACGGGTTGGTGATTTCAAACTTATAATTGTGAAACTATAAGTCCAGGTTTCCTCACGATGTTTTCCTTCCTTAGGTACGTCAATAAAAGGAAATATCTTTCGTTCGTTTAGTTGTCTGATATCTAAATGATGCATCATCCGTAAGGTATGCACATAAAAAAAATTGTTTTTAATTAAATTTACGAATAGATTATTATAAAGCTATAAATATCTTGTCGGAAAACTTACTATAAAAAACTTAATAAGTATATGAGATTGGAATATGCAAAAACTATTCATATACATCGTCAACAGATAACATAGTAAACAAAAACTGGTTTTAATATAAAAACTATTTAAATCGCAAACTTTTTTATGCGTCTTATTTTATTAATAGTTATTTTTTTGTCGTTATCCAACCAGTTTTTCAATATTGCTGACAGTCTTTTCTTTTTTGTTAAAAATGAACCTGTTCTATAATACTTTTTAAAAATAGTAAGTATTATTTTAATAATATAACTGTCATATGCAGAATATTAATATGTAGAATATTATATTGTTACAAGACAGTATTTTCTTTACTATAATAAAAGTTTTAAAAAGTCAAATAGGATTTCTTGCTATTCCTATAAATTGTGATTTTATTGCAAGTATAAAAATATCTTTAACCTGTTTTAATTGTGCAAGAAATCCTATAAGAAACATGTACCAGTGGATACAAGATCGTCCAAAATTACATCAGCTTTGGGGAAATTTAAGTGATCAACAAATATTGATCATTTCGTATTTGTTTAAAAGTTCTTAGAAATTTTTGTCTTTTCAATGAAATAACTGTCAGTTTTTCCTTTTACTGTTCCCGGACTGTTAGCAAGTAATATTTATCATTACCACAAGTTAACGTATTAAAATAACGTAAAGAAAAGTTTTTATTTTCGCACCAATAAACCTTAATTGATCAACTATCATGTGTGAAATTTTGTGAAGGAAAAAACGGTCCATCCGTTCCAGAGATCAGCCGGAACAAACAGACAGACATACAGATAAAACATCAAATAAATAATAACAAGGACATGCTTCAAGGTCCAACCACTTCTCCAATTTAAGAAACATCTTTACAGTGTGGAGAAAGAACGCTGAATCATTTATTTTGTATTAATCAGTTATAATTAATATATTTATATAAATTAATTAAAAGAAAGGAAAAAATCTAACCAATAGTAAGATTTTTAAAAGATAATCTACTTTGATACAATTATCTGGTTATTTTCTCATTGTGTACGTAAAAAATGTAGGCGTTTAATTGGGAGATCTTGTTTAACTGAGACCATAATACACTTACCACGAGAATGAATCATAAACTCACGCAGAACTTACAGTAACTCGTTAATAATTTCCGCACGTCATGATAGTATTAACGTAATTTTATTAATGAAAAACTGTTAATACGTATGTAGTGTGACGATGCTAACTTATAGTACTCATAGTTACAAAAAAATGTATTGGATACATACAGGGTGACTGGTGAATTACTATCAATATTTTAGGAGAACACTCGGTCCATGATTCTCATTCGAATTATGTAAAAAAAATAGGTACTTAATTTTTGACAAAATTTCCGTATAAATAAATAAAGTGTTGACACGTTCCAAGTGTTCCAAGTGTGGACGCGTGCGGCGGCGTGCTGATACAAAACCACGCCCCCGCCGCGTATGTGTGAGTGTGTGTGTATACCTAATCTGTAGGGTGTTCACACGATGCGTAATTAATTACACAACTTTTGGTTAACTTTACTTAGAAGTTTATTAATATTTATGTTATATTAATTTTTATTTTGTCATATATGATCGTCAAATATCACGTCCTCAAATATCGATAGTAATTCACCAGTCACCCTGTATATCAAAATTAAATTATAACTGTAACTTAATAGATATTAAAACATATACAATATATAAATATGAAATATAGTAAGCTTAAACTTCTGTCAGCGTGTATAAATGTATTGCATCAACCGGTCTGTCCCTGAGTCTGTATTATTAAGAATTTGGGTGTTTTTAAGGAATGATTACTATTAAGTTGTTTATAAAATGTCAGAAGTAGCGCCACCTACATTTATTCTGTTTGTACCTTTATTCACTTTAAATAAAATCCGTCAGTCGATGTCAAATAATCTTTACGTATCAGTTATTAACAAAGGCTTCATTTCCATTGAGTGATAGTCACATCTTATCCAGTAAATATAATCAATTCTCTAAATCCATTCCAGGTTCCATCACGATCATACTAGCTGTATTCGCCGTGTTCGTCGCTTTTACAGATGCTGGTAAGAAAAAATACTATATATAAGATTATCCCGAGTACACATTTAAAAATGAAACTAAGTGTTTTTTGGTACTACGCATTTATTATAATTTTATATCTGTATAGTGTCTGAAACTTCCATCTCGTCTGTCCGTGGTCAGGACTGCTATAAAGGAATCGAAACGTAAGAATATTTTTTTTTTATGTGAAAGGTGGCAAACGAGCAGACGGCCTACTTGATGGAAGGTAGTTACCGTCGCCCATGGACATGAACATATTTGTTACGGATGCGTTGCCAACCTTGTTGACATATAAAACTTTAAAAAACGTGTAGTGTCCAAAAAACGTAGTTTCATTTAATTAAAATAGCACCCTAATACAAAAGATTAGATCGAAAACCTAAGCACGAGTTAATATCAACAGAACTGAACACATACAGTTTATAGTATTAATTCAAATGAAAACATTAATTTATGGAAAAACTTCCAAAAGTGTGTATAATTTGACGCATCAAACTCATGGTAAAGAAATACAGAACATACACATTAAATGTTTGTACGTCATTATATATACATATTTACTTTTTGTACCTAATATGCAGTTTTCAAGAGAAAAAATGAATTTTAAATATACCTCGTATTAAAATAATTGATAGATTGTGACAAAAACACTATAAAATATTCAATTTGATATCCTTAAACCTACACCTGGGTCACAAGTCCCAGTCACTGTTGAAGCTCCTCTCACTACAACGATGGACCCGACACACGCACCGTGAATACATTGAATGATAAGAGACTTCGTCTCTAAATGAACTTCAATCCAGATTAAGTTATTTAATATTTCTAAAGCTATTCTAACATATTACTACTATTTTTAGCTTCTGGAAGTTGTCCATTACCTTCCAAGATCTACAGCTGTAGCCCCAAGTGTGTCCAGAACTACGATTGTAGTCACGGCAAGGTCTGCTGCCCCAACTCCTGCAACACCAAGTCCTGCGTAGACCTGGCAGCTGTAGGGGGCGCTAATAATGGCAAGGATAAATATTCACAATGTACGTATTTAATTAATATTAATTACAGATTGACAGAAAATTTATATATTTTTTTCCTTATGTATGGTCGGCACAACATGTTTTTCTAATAGAACATGTTGTGAATAGTTTTGTCTAATTGTTTTTACGACCGGCCGCCTGCCTGACATCAACCCTCTTTTGGAATGCATTAATCAGTGATGTCTAAATAGTCTTAGAAAGTACATATGACTCGGAAAAATCACATTGGTACTTTCCAGGGCCAGAACATTATATGTATATAATTAAATAAATGAAAATAAATGAACGATGATACTATCAGTATTGTGGTAATACATATTAATCATACTTAGGATACACTATAGTAAACGAGTAATTTCTAAACAGGCATATAAATTTATTTTATTTACGTAAACGGAATATAAAGAAAGTAAATAATATTAAATAAATATTTAAATATTAATAAAAACAATATTTTTTATTAAAACAGTCATTATTCAATGCTGGGAATTACCTTTCATTGAGAATAAATAAGGAAAAATGTAAGAATGATTCTAAGAATTGAAATATACATTATAATATAGTGGTCAATCAAAAATTTACTTTTCACTATCACAGATTGAAAAATTCTAAAAAAATACGAAAAATTATATATTTAACTAAAACCACTTAAATATATTACAATTATTATTGTCTATAAAATAATATATCTATTTAGTTGAAGTTTTCTTAATATTATAAAGGCATTTATGATTTACCATTTCGTATTTTCTAGAATCTAAATTATAACATTTTAAATACTTCGATTCTGCTAAGATTGCGTTTCTGACAAGTCTTTATAAAATTTTAAATATAACTGTTATGTACTGAGATTTAAGACTTTCGCTAGTATTAATTTAAATAAAACTAATGTTTTTCGGATTTACTACGAGTTTTTTTTTATTTTAACTACATACTCCCGACGTTTCGGTTACTTATACATACTTTAAAGCAACCGTCGGGAGTATGTTGTTATAATAAAATGATTATAAAAGCATATTAAATCAAAAAAATATTAGTTCTTTTTCAATAACTGTGACGTACTTATAATCTACGGAATAGTTTTATTAATTTAAATAATAATTTATTAAAGTAAGAGTTTCGAAAAATTTACTATTAAGTTATAAATTTTGTTCTAAAATTATTATTAATTGATTGCTTGACATTTATAAAAGCAGTGGTTTTAAGTCAAGTATCATTACACTAAATACTATAATTTATTAATATGAAAGACTATATAACTGAATGAAGCTTGTCGATAAATTAAAAGAAAATAATAAAAAAACATGCGAAATCGGCAATAAAATTTGATTTCCCGAACTCTCCATTAATGTAGGCGTAAAAGTACTAAGTGCATAATATAGAAATAAATAAAGCTGTTTGCTCAATGGAATTTATTATATAACTAAAAATTTTATTTAAACTGGGTTTTAAATGTAATTACATATATGTAAACAAAATAAAAATATACAGGGTGACTGGTGAATTACTATCAATATTTAAGGAGAATACTCGGTACATGATCTCATTCGAATTATGCAAAAAAAATAGGTAATTAATTTTTGACCAAATTTCCGTATAAATAAATAAAGTGTGGACACGTTCCAAGTGTTCCAAGTGTGGATGCGTGCGGCGGCGTGTGTGTGTGTGTGTGTGTGTGTGTATACCTAATCTGTAGGGTGTTCACACGATGCGTAATTAATTACATAACTTTTGGTTAACTTTACTTAGAAGTTTATTAATATTTATGTTATATTAATTTTTATTTCGTCATATATGATCGTCAAATATCACGTCCTCAAGTATCGATAGTAATTCACCAGTCACCCTGTATATATATATTGATTATTTACTATAAATCATTATAGACCTAATAAATAAATCTCAAGATTTATCTTGAGATTGTTTACAAGATTAATCTGTCTTAATCAATGTAATGAATTAATTCGTATTATATTTTCAAAATTTAACATACAATTTAATAGAAAAAAAACTTTTATTAATTCTAACAGATACGAGAGATAAAAAAAATAGTTTAATAAATCTGTTTTAATACAAAATTAATGTATTTTATATATTTTTGTTCAGCTGGCGGCGCCGGTGTGTACTGCAACAACCAGAAATGTAATTCATTTGAAGTATGCAAGTTGGATCCCGCCACCAAGAAGATGAAGTGTATGAGGGCTTAGAGAACTATAAATAAATATAATATAGATCAAAACATATATATACATATATATACTTTTATATACAAAATAAAATAATCCTTTATTAAGCAGTTTTATTTATTTTCTAATAAAACAACAACATTTTGTCACTCTTGGAACAAATGTGTTCAAACAAACGCTATTCGCTTTAGTACAGATTAAATATATTTTTATACGTAACAAGAATTTATTTATTTATATCAAAAGAAAATGTTATTTGGGAAAAACAAAAAACTAAACGAATTAAATAAATCAACATAATTATATTATTATCAATCAAATATATATATATTAATGGTTGTCAAATGTTCTTCAAACTTATTCCAAAACCGCCAACCCTTTGTCTTTGTATAGTCAATAGTTCTTATTAGTTACGGCTCGGCAGCCGAGGCGAGAGGTTGTTATAAAAATGTATTAATTATTACAATTTCACTATACATTAACGTAGTTTAAAATTGATAATTTTAACCAAATCTCGTAAAAATTTACGAAAAGTGAAGCAGAATTCTTTGCTAGTAATTGCAGTGATGTATTTAATTTAGAATTATATTAGTTTTGATCTAATTTATTGTTTTTCAACAGAATGTCTGGATTTTTAAAGCACGTATGTACTAGTTCATAAATTTAATTTGTTTACTCGTCATCAATGTGGTACAAATAAAATACTATCGTTACTATGAAGGACTTTACAAACTATATTTGCATTTCACTTTGACATTATAAATAATATTTAAAACTTAATTGAAATATTAAAATAATATTATATAATTACTTGAAATTATTTTATTTAAATTGATTTCAATGCAACACCGAAAATAATATTCTAACATGCAATGAACTAATTTAAAAAATATATATATTATTTTATTAAATTTGGTGATAGTAAAACAAAATGAATAAGTATATGTTATTTATAAAATAAAAAATTATTTACTAGCCTATGAAATCATTAAAAAGGCGTCAATTTTTTAAAAAGTTTATAATAATAGTTCCAATACAATATTTTCTTACGGTAAAAGTCTTCTTTTAAACAATGGATCGGCGACTGTTGTATATAATTTTACACAATAATATCTTAACAATATTAAAAATGTAATTTTCATTTCCTTTGTTCTGAAGATGCCACAACATTCACGTTTTATTGAATATATACATATCTTTTCTAATTCGACTTAAAAGTTGTTTCTTTTGTTAGCATTTCAACAAAAATCTCCATTATTCAGCCATAAATATTTAATCATAGTACCAAAAATACGTATAAGTTGATGAAATCAATAATCATATTATAAATATAAAATAAAAAAGGACTAAAAAGCATTTTCCTGAATCATCAAAAATTTTTAATGCTCACTTTCACTCCAAAACAATGGAGGATATATTAAACTTTTAAAATCAAATGTTTTTTAACATTAAAATGCGCGGGCGTACCCGAGTGCTAATGTTAGTGTATTAAAACAATGCATATACATCACAAGTGATCGATATTCGTCTGATATTCAAACAACTGCAGGTCAACAGCGTGACATAATAAATATAATTTCTTGCAATGATTACAATATGGAAGAAAAATAAAAAAATCATTAGAAGTATAGACGATAGTTCTTAAAGGTTATTAATTATTATCCTTAATAGATATACATAATCGCTTTTTCTATACTGATACTCATTCCATAATAAAATAGTAAAGATTTTTTAAAGTTCTTTAAGAATGTAGTTCACTCAATTTCCGTGAGACAAAACTAAATCTAACTAAAACTAAACACTAAATAATAACTAATTGTGTTAAAATTACCTTAAAATTCGTTAATATATAAAATATTTCAGCTCAAACTTTCTTCTGATAATCTACTTCCAATGTTGATACGCGGAATTATCCAATGCTAGTTACGCGGATTTGCACTATTCCCGACGATATATATATTTAATAGATATCATTTAACGTAAATGAAAAATATTAATTCTACAATCACATGAAATAATAATTATATAATAGTAATACCCAATGATGTGACTCCTCTTGCATTCAACAGGCAGACAGCGAAACAAGATAAACTTTAACAACAAGATTTATAAAGTACTACAATGAACACACAAGAATCAAACTCAAGTACTGATCGTTCTTGCCCGTTGTGGGAGAGACTGAACTGTGTACGAGCAGCAAGTTACTGCAGGAGGAAATTAAGAAAAGTGGCGCCCGAAGATGGACTGCGGGGAAAAAATAAGTGAGTGTACATAATAGACTAATTTATTCATTATATTTATTTATTAAGGCAAACACAACAGGTCACAATCACATAGAGAATATTTCTTAAACATTAATAGTATCGAACAGATTGTAACCCTAAGGGTGCACGCAACATGACGGGATTGCCAATTATTATATACAGGAAATAATTATGTATTAGTACTAAACAATAACAACAGTAGGTATATCAAGACCATAATAAAATTGAATTAGGTACATGGACTAAACAAAAAAAGACAAAAATAAAACATTAAAAGTGATATTTAATGAAGTTACACGAATTATATAATATTAAGATTTAAAATTATTTGTTTTAAATATTATAACAAGATAAATCGTCACGTAACTTTTTATAAATACTATTTTTAAGTGTTAAAATAAGTAAGTGCATCCACATTTCGTCTGTCCGTGATCACGGTTGACGAAAAGTAACCGAAACGTAAGGAGTATGTAGTTTAAATAATAAAATACGCGTAGTATATCCGAAAAATAATAGTTTCATTTAAATAAGTTGAAACACTTTTGGAACAAATAAAATTATTCACACTGTAAAGTATGCTGTGATTGCCTTTATTTTCTTGAATAAGAACTTTGTATGATATATTTATTTTCAATCAAATAAAATGTAGGTACCAAATTAAATTATAAATATGCATAGAAATATACAGGGTGACTGGTGAATTACTATCGATATTTGAGGACGTGATATTTGACGATCATATATGACAAAATAAAAATTAATATGACATAAATATTAATAAACTTCTAAGTAAAGTTAACCAAAAGTTATGTAATTAATTACGCATCGTATGAACACCCTACAGATTAGGTATACACACACACACACACAGACGCGGCGGCGGCGTAGTGTTGTATCAGCACGACGCCGCACGCGCCCACACTCGGAACACTTGGAACGTGTACACACTTTATTTATTTCCACGGAAATTTGGTCAAAAATTAAGTACCTATTTTTTTTTACATAATTCGAATGGGAATCATGTACCGAGTATGCTCCTTAAATATTGATAGTAATTCACCAGTCACCCTGTATATATCGGATTTATTTAAAGAAAGAGACGCCAGCCTCGCTGATGTTACTAATGTCACTTCTTCTAGTACGTTCCATGATAATTTAAAATGAAACTTCAATTGTTCTTAATGTTCCTGTATTTCTCGAAGCTTCTTCATAATCACATACTTCAAAGGTCCGCACTCACTGAATTCTGCCGTCGTGCGTCCAGACGTCATATTTATAACAAGATTCAAACATTGTTCTATTCTCCTTTGATTTCGTTTTACTTTTAACAATAATCATAAATACTAATGAGGTTTAATAAGAATTGATGACGGCCTCAAATTATTTTCACGTAGCATCCGTTATTAAAGCTGGTAGCGAAAATATGTATATATAAAAAGAAATTCATATCATTTTATGAGAAAAGTTTTTAAAATAGCGTTCCGCTTATCAAAGTTATGACCAGTGTAAAGTATAATGGCTGAAAAAACTTTATTGTATCCTAAGGGAAGCTAATCTTGATCTTTTTATTGCTAGCGTCATAACAACAAGGACGAATTTCACACAAATATTTTTACGTATGAAGAAATATCAATCTTCATATATTTAATTGAAACTATTTCAATAAACTTTTATTACTACTCAAGTTAAGTTTTGAAATAAATTTTTAGCTACTCTTACTTTTTTTTTTAATTATCTGTCAATTGAAAATAGATGTCAAACAAAAATGGATGACTGCAAATATTTATTTAAACTTTTAAGTATGTATATCAATTTATTTTTCGCCTATATGTATGAAATAATCGATATAAATTATAAATTTATTTAATTTAAATAATAATCAATTAAGAATTGAGTACGGTGATGTTTTCCCGCGCTGTCATAAACAAAATGGCTGCGTGACATTTGCAGGTGGGGGTTGGAAATGGGGTCACGATTCCTTGACCCCTTGGCTCATATAACGCACTTGTATAAAAAAATAAGGAGCTTTACACGAAAGCCAGTTAATTTTAGTGTTGGATAGATTTATATTTTTGGATATTGTGTTTTGTTACAAAAAAGTTTTCATGGTGTCAATATAAGAAAAATATTAGATTTATAAATAGTTTATGGAAAATACTTTTTTCAATACACAATGTTTTGAATTAGTCTATTTTTATATATGACTGTAAAGTAATACTTACTTTTCTTCCTATTGTTCGTCAATACAGAAAAAAAATATAGAAAAACTTATTTTAATAATAATACATAATTAATCGACATTTCTCGCTGACAAAAAAATAATTAAATTAATAAAAATATATATTTAGGTATTTTTTTTATATAGGTAAAATATTAATATATTTTATAGGATTTTCTTCTCTAATACCTAGACAAAAAAGTCATTTTATGATGTAATATAAATCTTAAAATTGATTAAAAATATTTCAAGAATATTATCTCCAATATTATAATAATATGTGAAAACATAATGTAGAACATAAATTGCTATACAATAAAATTTACGAATACTAAACTTAATAATTTCAACTTTATTCAATTTACAATGTACACGATAGACTAGACTCTACATATTGAGTAGTCACCGTTTTTTTATTTTTACACCTAAATTAACACGCGCGAAGATTTATAAACAAAAAACTGTAAAACTTTGGTAGTGAGAACAATGATCTATCGAAATAATTACAGTAGAAACTCGATTATCCGGCCCTCAGTTATACGGATTCGCGATTATCCGGACTACGGACAAGTCCGGACAAGAAAAAATGACAAAGTGTAAGAGAGTGGTGTTGTTGAGAGTATAATATTCTATACCAAATGAAACTTATTATTTTAATTCATGATTACCAATTGCAAAATAACAAATACATATGTTATATTTTTTTTGAATAAACGTATAATATTCCATGTACTACATATGCACAAAACCGGCTTTTCTTCATACATTCGATTATCCGGATTTTCGATTATCCGAATGCCTATCAACAACAATTAGTCCGGTAAATCGAGTTTCTACTGTAAATGACAATATGTCCTAAAATAAGTCCGCAGATACTGCTAACGCTTCCAAGGCTTCGTAATGAGTGCAACAGGCAGTCACATACGAGTATGTAGACAATAACGGTCTTTGTAACGCAAACTTAGAATGGAGAACATTTTTATCTTTATGTATATATATATATATATATGTATATATATATATATTGATTTTTAAACAGATTTGAACTTGATTCGTTTTATGAGACAAGTAGTCAGCATTATAAGAATCTAGATTCTAGAGAATTATAAATTGACAAGGAATATTTCGCTAAAATTTCCGAAACGTCTAAATAATTTGGTAACCTTCGCTTGTTAGCATAAGAAATAAGAAGTACTTACCTTATTTTTGTATAAAATATATATTAAAGAAATTAATATACTATTATTGTAAATATAACTTGTATTTTTGTCACGTTTTAGTTCGTCGTTCAAGTGACAACATTCATTTATACTAATGTGTTTTTGACGTGTCAATAAATGTTTACATTACAAAAGGGATGTACATAGCGTTAAATTATTTGTTAACGCCATGACGGTTTGTCAATAACTTACAACTAGTCGCGATTACACGGTTTAAGGTTAAAAAAATACAATAATTAAGGTTAAAACATTATAATAATATTACAATTTAATCATGTGGCCTAGTGGTTAAAGGCCCACTTGCATGAGGGTGTGACAAGTACCAATGTGATTTTTCCGAGTCATATGTACTTTCTAAGAGTATTTAGACATCACTGACAGATGAAGGAAAACATCGTGAGGAAACCTGGACTTATAATTTAAAATTATAAGTTGAATTCACCAATCTACCTTGAGCAAGCGTAGTGATTAATGCTCTAACCTTCTCCATGTGAGAAAAGGCCTTTGAGATCTCCACATGAAAAAAGGCCTTTGCTTAGCAGTGGCCTCCGATGGGTTGACGATGAATGACAGAAACAATTTAGTACCAATGCAAAGAAATTGTGAAACTTTTTCATAGTATCTAAACTACGTTCAAAATATATTAATATATTTAAACCATTAACAATTTTTATTATAGTTTTTAATACATAATTATAATTTTTGTTAACTATACACCTGATATATAATCTTCTATATATATAAAAATGGATTGCTGTTCCTTAGTCTCGCTAAAACTCGAGAACGGCTGAACCGATTTGGCTAATTTTAGTCTTGAAATACTCCTGGAAGTCCAGGAAAGGTTTAAAAGGTGAGAAAAATTGGAATAATTGCCGGGAAAACCCTAAAAACAGCCCTTTTCTATTTCCCATACAAACGTTTTTTTTGACATTAGATTTGACAACTAACTAATATGTCAATTCTGTTTGATTGAAACAGAAAAAACCTGATTATTTATGGCCTGTAAGACGGAATACAGTTTACCCGGTCAGCTATACCTATATTACTAATGACGAAATTAACGCGGACGAAGTCGCGGGCAAAAACTAGTTTATAATATTTAAATAGACACACTTATTTCGTGTCAGTCGCCTCCATATTGGATTATTTCGCGCCAAAATGTTTAAACTAAGGACAAAAATAAAATAGATCATAAAGCCAACATTAATATAATAAATACGTAAGAAACGAATTTTATTAACAGATAATGTTTTATGTGAATTGAATGATTACAAATTTTTATTACTATTAAATTTAATTATATTTGATTCAGAACAAGTAATGTCATATTTAAAATTTTTATAGTTATTTAAGTAGATATTTATCTTTTAAAAATCCTGGTATTTTTTTATTTTTTATTTGATACTGTATTTATCATTCATAAATTATCAAGTTATAGTATTAATATAGTTTATTGAATAGAAAACGGAAAACGCTTTGTATGTATACAAACTTGCGTTCATAATAATATTTTTTACGCGCCAAAATAGTTACATGAACACATTCTTCATAAAAATATGTTATATTTATTCAAAATTAATTCCGTAATAATTTTTGCATAAACGTTACATATGGTAATAAAATAAATTCACGAAGTGTTTCCGTGTTTTATGTATTCATTTACATAAAGCTGTCATACGGAAAATGCATTTTTTAAGAATTATTTTTATATCCATAGCACTTGACACGGAATATGTACATTAGGATTGTAAATTGTACTACGTTCATACATGTATAATTATATATTCAAGACGAATTCGTAATTCTGTTGAAAACAATTCTTTCTTTATACAAAATTAAACGCGGTCTTTTTCATCCTTGGTTATTGAAGTAAGGGTCGTAGTAAGGGACTAATGGAAAGAATTTTGTTATACTATGTTCGCCTGGCAAGGGTTGTACTGTCATTACCAAGATATTAGTTCGTAGAGACGAGACGAAACTTCTTATCATTCAATGTATTCACGGTGCGTGTGTCGGGTCCATCGTTGTAGAGAGAGGAGCTTCAACAGTGACTGGGACTTGTGACCCAGGTGTAGGTTTAAGACCCTATCTAACGCTATACGCTAACGATATAATTAGTTCGTAATTCTGACCATACATTTCTACAATATAAGGTTAGTGTAGACTAATCCGAACTTTGTATAAGACACTTAATTTGTGTGATTTGTCTGAACAACTGACAGACAACCTTCAAACAAGTAACTCTTTAAGAGGACATTGACATCAAGTCAAGATATGATTTAGGGATCTTCAAATCAGAAGAAACTTTATAATTATGACAACAATTATCTCATTGAGGATTTTACTCGTTATATACCATCAGAGGCATCAGTGTAAGTAAAATATAGAAGTAAATACTTTTTCAAATTTTTGTTTTCCCGATGAAAAGATTTTCCCTTTAATTTCAGTATACTTTACAATACTTTTTTTGCTTAAAATAGGCAGAAAGTACAGTTAATATTTATCCACAAACTAAATATAATGAGCATTTTTAAACAATCTGTCCATGGAAGTTTTGACTCTACACACTTTTTTTTATATACCTATATAAAGGAAAAAAAACTTCTTGCTTTTCTCGGACGCATTTTAACTTTTAACATTTTGAACGCAATTTAACATTTTGAACGAATTAATTATTTCTTATTTAATAAATGTATACATAAATATATTTAACATTCTTCTGTGATATCCATCTAAACAATTGACAAAGCGAACTCATCTAACTAGTTATTTAAAATGGCAGACAGAAACCAAACTTTAAATATCCTTACAAAAATCATAATCATAGCATAGGAACTCTTATAATGCAACCTAAATAATTTATTTAAAAGCTATTTTTGATTAATCTAATCTTGTTTTTAACCAGGAGCAAGGATAGAAGTCGCCGTACACAACGACCACCGACGGCTTTATACAATAGATTCAGTGAGAAGATGCTCTCCAGTACACCACCAGCTCTTCAATGTGCGCTGTTCTGTGGAGGAAGAAGATGCCAGTATGAGAGACCAGAAAACTGCAAGTCTGCCATACAAGGATTGTACTCGGATTGGTAAAGTTTATACATAGGAGTTACATATCTTTAAATACTTTATTTTTCTCAAAAAGAAATTACATTTCACTTATTTAAAAAAATTATGACTATAAACATATTTTAAATTAAAACTTCGACAATCATAATAAATTTATCACTATAGTTTAACATATTCTTACAAAAAATTTTGCTTTAAACAAGATATTTAAATCAAACCCTCATATTTAACTTTTAAATATGTATATTTTAATGGATTCTTTGATAGATTGCTATGGAAATAAGAAACGGCGCAAGAAAATTTGTAAATGGTTTTAAGTTTTGGTTGTATAAAAAATCTGCTTATTGTATGGGACCAAAAAATTTTATGTGTGCTCCTGTGTGGTGTGTGTGACTACGTCCGCATAAATACGTATGTGTTTTTGTTACGGAAACAAAGTTTACTAACAAATTTAAAAAATTAGATAACTCCTGGAATAAACTCAGAATTACATTAAGTAAATCTCATAAATAAAAGTGCCATGAAAAATATTAAATTATCCTGATAGGACGAGATGTTAAACCTAAGATCATACTACCTCCATTCCAGTATTCTGGAGCTCATACAACTTAGTTCATAAATCTTTTGTTAAAACCTCACACACAGCTATAATTTCAATCCAAAATCTTCCATCCTTATTGAAAAACCATTTATATTATACTAACATTTAGATCAATTTCATAACAAATAAATCTGAAACTAGGTCTAAATGACCTTCGATAGTAATAACATCCACAAATCATATAGTTTAAGATTAAAAATAATTTCGATGGTCGTATAAAGGTAGCGTGACTTTGGTCAGGTACATTAAATATTATAATAATGTACGCTGTAACACGCCACCCTCGCTCACAGCTAAGGGTTAATGGGACGCGTTTATATTTAGGACGGATTTTAATTTATTATTACCTTTTCATATAATAATGTATAATTGAATTGCTTGTTGAAACTACAACGCGTTTGAAGCGTGGTTTGAATTCAGTGTTTGTGGTAGATGCGAAAAATTCAAGGTAAATTGGGCGGAATTATGCCAAAAATACGTCGATACTTGGAGTATTTTTTAATTATAATAAATTTTACGTCAGACATATCGATGACATGTTGAACTTTACGTATCTCAATGGTATTCCTGTGGGAATAAAACGTAAAGGTGCATTCATTATATGCAATGACGAAGTTGATTGGTTATAAGCACTTAGCAGATATATTGAGAACACAATATTTCTCTACGAACCTAATTTCGATCTACACGAGGACTAAGTCGCGGGAAAAAATTAGTTATTAATTGTCATACACCTTTAAGTCTCTATATAATCAAAATAAAGTATAATTAAATCATACTCAAGCAATGAAATTTAGAAGACAATATGAGAAAATAGTTTAAATATTTTATGAATTGTATATTAAAACACATATCTCCAGTTTTACAGCCCCATCATATGTCCAGGGTCACTGACGAAATACTCGCGATGGCTCGACCCAGCACAGCGAGCATCGCCGCTAGAAACATTATACAACAGTTCCACAGGTAAAAATATCGATAGAAACACTTATATGTATTATAACAATAAAATAATTATTATTATCACAAGATTATAACTCATTATTTTACAACATTAAAGCGAGGAGAGGCGAAGACTACGAAAACAAAATTTGACTAATTTTATTTACGTTATAATTAAGACAAACTTAAATATTTCACGAATTAAATTAGAACTTTAATTTTTTTTGCTAACAATTTTTGTCTGTTTTAAATCTTTAAGACAATAGTCTTTAAAGTTTTGGTGGACATAGTAAAATGAATTGTTTAATTTTATTCATACAGTCAAAGAATCAATTTAAATTAGAGCCTAAATAGTAAAAAAAATATTATTGTTTCCACATTTGTTGTTCAAATTATAAGAATGCCTGTTCAATGTTCTTTGTGTGACGGGGAGTATATAAATTTTTCTATTATGAAAAATTTGTGTAAGTCAAGTTAATTTGTACACATAAGGTATTAAGGCAAAAGGAAATTACTTCGATTCGTCAAAATCAAACAATATACCTTTATTTCACAGAAGTAGTTTGCAAGAGTGTCAATATATTAGATATGAATCACGTTCTTTGTAACTTTTTTGATGAGTTTCACTATTTTTCAGTTTACTAGAAACATCTTTAAGGTCGCTGTACCTTTCGTTTAATTAGTTTTGTATATCTATTAAAAAATATATTTAATATAGTTTTATATGTTCATTTATTCCTCTAAATGTTACAGTTAAAAATAACTGGAAGGTATCACAGAGTCTCACGGTTTTTGTTTTATTCTTTTTGATCTTTTTGGGCACTAAAAGACAAGTCAGAATAGTTCTCAAACGACCCTAAAAAAATCTTACATAGAAACGTACTTTATTTACTTACTATCCTCAATCTTGTATCTATAGCTGGGGTATCCGTACTGTGATCAATCTACAGACCCCGGGTGAGCACGCAAGCTGTGGCCCCCCACTCACCAGCTCCGGGTTCACTTATGACCCCAACGTATTCATGACTAATGATAGTAAGTATTATACCAATCAAACCTGTTCCCTTATAGCAAGTTTCCATTTCACACTACATAGGTAGTATTAACGTTGGTTTAGTAGTGAAAACCTTAGACGCTACGTATTTGCTTCGACAATGATAACTTCGTCTCGTCTGCCCGTGATTACGGTTGCTGAAAAGTAGCCGAAACGTCGGGAGTGTTTAGTTTATAGTGAAAAATAAAATCCGAAAATATTAGTTTCATTTAAATGATAACTTTTGGTGTAGTTTGGAATATTCCAATTGCAATTACAATGTTTAAATGATTTGATGCTGAGATCGTGTAAGTGTGATTTAAATCACGATATCATATAATAAATGAAAAACACTGAACAGATTTCCCTGAAGCTTATAATGAAATACAGTTTTTAAAAGATCTATACATACATTCCGTTTTATCTTTATTCCCACAATAATTTTGATGTATACCGAATAATAATTATCAATAATTTGTCTGCTTTCTGTACTTCAATAAGTTATTTAGTTTAAATGTATGTACTCAGTATATTACTACAACTTCGCGTGGCCTGACTACGGCGAGGCGTCTCTCAGCAGTTTACTGGACATGGTCAAAGTTCTATCATTCTCGTTCCAGGAGGGAAGAGTCGCCATACACTGCCACGCTGGTAAATAAATGTAACTCTTCCATTAATTTTAATTATCCAATAATATTATAAAACTTCTAGGCCCATTTATAATATTAGTTTTAAATTTGCTGTGTTATTGGGAAGTAGTTATAGAATATAAAGTTAAACTACAATGTGATATTGTCTGATGAAACTTTGACAGTTAGTTGGGCAGTCTTATCATGGGTATGGATTTTTAATCAATAAGCCTATCATAAAATATATACGAGAAAAAGACCATTAATCATCTTTTTTTTTTGCGAAACAAATAGCAACCTTTATTTAACAGTATGAAAAATTTACAAAACGTAAGCAAAGACTATTTAAACGATTATATATAACGAAAGCAAGCAGTGGCGGTATAAGTCAGTGGTGGCCTAGTGGTAAAAAGGCTTGCCTCTCACGCACGAGGGCGCGGGTTCGATCCTTGCCCGGGCAAGTACCAATGTGATTTTTCCGAGTCATATGTACTTTCTAAAAGTATTTAGACATCACTGATTAATGAATTCCCAAAGAGGGTTGATGTCAGGCAGGCGGCCGGTCGTAAAAACAATCAGCCAAAACTATTCAAAACATGTAAGGCAGACCCTGGCTAAAGTTGGGAAATTGCCAGGTAGAAGATATAACGAAAGCAAGCAAAGCCTAAACTAGAAGACTGCTTAATAATAATATCTATGAATCTTCCACCAGGTTTAGGTCGTACAGGTGTTCTAATAGCCTGTTACCTCGTCTACGCTCTCCGCATCAAGGCTGACGACGCTATCCGACTGGTCCGTAAGAGAAGACCCCGCTCGGTCCAGATGTCCTGCCAGATCTTCTGCGTGCAGCAGTTCCAGCACTACCTGCTGCCGCAAACCGTTGTCTTCAGCTGCAAGTATGTTCAATGCAGGTCTAGAATATAATTGCTTCTATTAACACTTATGTCTCAGACAACTATTATAACATTTAGACAGCATTTAAATGAAACTAATATTTTTACGACTTTATTTTTTATGAAAAGTACATACTCATCTCGTCTGCTCGTGATCACGGTTGTTTAAAAGTGGCCGAAACGTTGAGAGTTTAAAAAATAAATTCACGTAGTATATTGGAATAATATTAGTTTCATTTAAATGAATAAAACTCGCGAAAATCTTATAAATCATTATTTAGATATATTTTTTATATTAAAATGCTTTTGTAAGATTATGTGGATTACAACTTTTTAACTAGATTTTTGGATATACAGGGTGACTGGTGAATTACTATCAATATTTAAGGAGCATACTCGGTACATGATTCTCATTCGAATTATGTAAAAAAAATAGGTACTTAATTTTTGACAAAATTTCCGTATAAATACATAAAGTGTTGACACGTTCCAAGTGTTCCAAGTGAGGACGCGTACGGCGGCGTGCTGATACAAAACCACGCCCCCGCTGCGTATGTGTGAGTGTGTGTGTATACCTAATCTGTAGGGTGTTCACACGATGCGTAATTAATTACATAACTTTTGGTTAACTTTACTTAGAAGTTTATTAATATTTATGTTATATTAATTTTTATTTTGTCATATATGATCGTCAACTACCACGTCCTCAAATATCGATAGTAATTCACCAGTCACCCTGTATAACAAGTCACGTCAGTATATAATAATATAAGAACTATATAATCTGTTTATTCAATACCCAGGGAGCAGTCAAACCAGACCAAAGATCCCAGAACATCAGAGTTCACACTACGACAGTATTTATACCGACAGATGGCGACACTGCACGGAGCTGATGAGAGAGCATTCAGAGAAATACCCAAGGTAATAAATAACACACACTTTAACCGACTGCGGAGATATTTATAAGTGATGAGCCATTACACTGTAATTTACCTTTACTGCTAAACTGTCTTAAGCACGACGGAGGCTGAGGAGTAGAATTGCTTCAGGGATCCATTCCATTGTAGAATGTTTTAAAGGATAAGTTAGCAATATGCTCAACTGGCCAAGCTTATGGGATAATTATTCCTTTAAAAAAATGCAACTATCTTGGTTATGCCTTAGGTAACTCAAGGATTATTGGTTAACCTGTAAAGCATCACCTTGAGTTTTGCATGAGGATCCTGCTTAGTTTTAGTGAATATACCAGCTTTTCGAGAGCTAATTAATGTTATATGTTCATCTCTATCGTCCATTACACGGATAGTTAGGCATAAAATCGTTTCCATCGCAGGAAAACTATCTCATTTCTGCCATGTAGATAATGTAAAAGTCAGTGGTGGCTAGTGGTTAAAAGGCCCACCTCTCATGCACGAGGGCGCAGGTTTGATCCTGGCCCTGGCAAGTACCAATGTCATATGTACTTTCTAAGAGTATTTAGACATCACTGATTTGATGCATTCCCAAAGAGGGTTGATGTCAGGCAGGCCGGTCGTAAAAACAATTAGCCAAAACTATTCACAACATGTAAGGCAGATTCTGGCTAAAGCTGGGTAATTGCCAGGTAGAAGAAGAGATAATATATCGTTAATATCTTTCAGATAGTATACTGTCTTTGTGAACGTCTGCTGTATCTGTGCGGATGTTGTCAGACCAGCGGTGTGGACCTGCGAGTGAGGAACAGACCGTTCTACAAGAACTTTATAAGCCACAGACTCAAACAGAGAAGACCGCCTGAAGTTAATGAAGACATACAAACCGGTACAACATATATATATAAAATAAACCTACCCGCAAAGTTCAAACTATCTTTTTTTTGAAGTAGTACCAAATTATCTATTGAACAAAGCTTGGTTCAAAATATTCTATGACTATAGTGAGTATAATTAATAATAAAAAAATGAACCAGAATAATATAATGGAAATCTTATGACGCCGTTTATGTAATCCATCAATTATTAAAGTGAATTATATATCTGTATCATGTACCTATGTATTTATTTTTGCTATTAAAAATAAGTCTTCATTCGCACGAGACCTTTTTGACGTCGGTTATAGAAGGGTCCAAATATCAATATAACAAACGTATAATGAGATCTAGACTTTCGCAAGTATTAATTTAAATGAAAGTGTTCCATTTTCTGTCAATGGCTTAGATAACCTAATAGATCTTAGAAAACTTCTGAATAGTATTTAAAGGTCAGCTTTTGTAAGACTCTTCTTGGTAACCAGAAATATTATTCGGGACCTCACTTTTTAACAGTTTATCATTCGAAGTTTAGTTAAATAAAAATACAAGTTATAGTCTTCATACAATTTCATAAACTACATATATTTTTATGAATCTCTTCATTCAATAGATGTACTCAATATACCTTTTATTATTTTTCTTTCTCTTGCAACACAATTGGTATTGCTATTAAGTTGAACCTATTTTTACATCTCACCGAAGCGAAAACCGAGAAGAAGTGATTTTTCAAGCTCTCATGCGAATGATGCTGATGATTTAACTAAACCTTTCTAGGACCTTCTCAATTACTTAAAAAAAAGGAATTCTATTGACTGATACGATGTTCATATACAGGGCAGGTGACGTCACTTCCGATGGTTGAATGGCGGGACCCCGTCGAGGAGGAAGTGGAACGGAACTTGGAGTCAGTCAGCCGACTAACAGGAACACGGTCCGGAGTCATACCAGCTATAATCGTTTATGAGGTAGTTTAAAAACCATTATATAATGACCTCTTAGCTCTAACTGTGCTTTGCTTATTGGAGTTCATATTAAATGAACCATTTTATAATGAACTCTTAAATAAGAACAGAGAGAGAAAGATGAACAATTTCATCGTCTTTTTTTTAAATGAGTTAATGACGAACAAATTTTTTATAATTCTTTTCGGATAACAATTGATTCCTTCAATGAACAAAATTACTGTCTTCGGATGAGTACTCATATGAATTTGCTGTAGACAAGTTAGTTGATGGTAAACTGACTTGAGTTATATTTATCAACCTTTGCATCGTATAAAAAACGCCTTTGATACTAAAATAATTAGCTTTTCGGTCTCCATCTTCCTTCCAATTTGGTTCCCCCACAGCACTGAACGCGTGCGTTCTACTTGACCGACGCGGTCAGCCGTCAGAATGCCTCCTGTGTGAGTATATCTATGTAATTTAATATGACACAAAGAATGCAAAACTGACCGCTTGACCGCTCTCTGTCTGATAGGTCCCTTAGCTCTAAAAGTATCATGTTTCAAGTCAAAAGAACCATTAAATAATGGATTGTGAGCTGTAACTATTTATTCGGTTATCAGGGCTCAGCTTAAAGTACTATTTTATCCCTTAGTCCTACTTGACTAGATAGTTATTATTTTTAAAACTATAAATACATAAATACTGACACCATACCATTCATTTATAACACAAGGTTTTCTTTCCTTTATTAAAACAATACACAAAAACTACGAAATGGTATAACTAGTAAAATTACTACAGAAATAGACGAAGTATGAGTTTAATTGAAGAAAAATACGTGCAAATACGTGAAGTTAATCCATTTCAATGCAAGTTCAAGTATCTGTCCCTGGCCTCAGAAGTAACACAAGATATTCCGCATCAGATAATAATACACTTTTAATCTGTTTGTTTTATTACGTCCTCTACTAACATCAATAAAACCTCTCACTCAAGTTTTCCGCCTTTCAAAGTTCTAGACTATATTTTTTGCATCATTTTATATGAATTCCTCATAAAAATAGCTATACGAAGTTAAAATTAAATAAAAAATAAAAAAATATAATATATTTATATGAACATAAAAAGCAATATACAGGGTGACTGGTGAATTACTATCGATACTTGAAGACGTGATATTTGACGATCATATATGACAAAATAAAAATTAATATAACATAAATATTAATAAACTTCTAAGTAAAGTTAACCAAAAGTTATGTAATTAATTACGCATCATGTGAACACCCTACAGATTAGGTATACACACACACACACACACTCGCGCGTGGCGGCGTGGTGTTGTATCAGCACGCCGCCGCACCCGTCCACACTTGGAACACTTGGAACGTGTCCACACTTTATTTATTTATACGGAAATTTGGTCAAAAATTAAGTACCTATTTTTTTTTTACATAGTTCGAATGAGAATCATGTACCGAGTATTCTCCTTAAATATTGATAGTAATTCACCAGTCACCCTGTATATTTAAACGTACTATTTAATGTATCTGATGATTTATAATCTTAAATGACATTTATTTTTGAAGAACGTTTGAAATTTACAAAAACTGGACCGAGGTCTGATCGTTTGAGGTTGCGAAAATTAATACATGACTAGACTTTACCTGCGGTTTTACCTTCTTTTTAAACTCCGACGCAAAAAAAGAGGGGTTGTTAATTTGAACGTCAAACTTTGACGTTAATATGCGTAGTTTGGATCGTAATCGATGCGTTTTTTATTAAAACACCAGTTTAATTTCCTTGCAGTGATTCTTAGTTATGTTCAGTTAATATTAGTCCAGATTTGTAGACTATCAGCTCTTTTCAAATGATGATAAGCATTTTTTCCATATGATAACTCGATTAAGAGCCTTACCAGAATTATAGAAACACGACAATGAATTCATAAAGAGTTTTTTTTACATGATATTACTTTGTCATTATTGAGATCTAAGACTTTCACAAATACCTATTTATTTAAATAAAACTAATGTTTTAGAATTACTACGCGTTTCTATTATTTTAAAACTACATACTCCCGATCTTTAAAATAATAAAATGATGCGTAGTAATTCGAAAACACTTTTTTATTTAGTTATTACTTTTAAAACCAGTTAAATTTAATCTACCAAGTCCTACTTAACTCCATAAACTTCACTAATATGTCAAAAACAGTTTTATTAGTAGTAATAATATAAGTATTAGTTTAATCATTTATATATAGCTTTAATATTTGATTTCTCAATCATAAATTACTGCGTATATTTTTCCTATATTAAAATTATTTAAAACAACAACGCTATAAAATATATTCATTGAAAAAGTTTAAAATAATTATTAAATACTTAAATAATTAAAAATAATTTATTACTCATATTCTATTTATTTTAAAAATTATATCATCTTTGGATTATATTATAAAGAAATCGATAATAACGAAAATTTTAAGGTACAACAATATTTTGGCATTAATTTTTCGTTAAGGAACCCTAAATTTAATTAAATATAAGCAAATGCGATAATAATCTCTATACTTTTACTCTTTATATAATGAAAATTACTTATGTCCTTACAACCACTAACATTATCAACAAGAAAAATATTAATTTTAATTAAAAATATGCTAAATTGCTCGTGTACCATTAGCTTAGATGGAAAAGTTATTGCAATACGAGATGCCAAAAGTCACAAGTTCGAATCCAACTCGTGTTGATGAAATTAACAATTAAAATGTTAAATCAAGGTTTTCTAAATTTGGTTTTGATTTTATAATTAATATCTGTATCTATAATACATATATAAAAATGAATTGCTGTACCTTGGTCTCACTAAAACTCGAGAACGACTGAACTTTAGTGAGACCACTCAATAAAACTCGAGAACGACTGAACGGATTTATCTTATCATAGTCTTGAAATGTTCGTGGAGGTTCAGGGAAGGTTTAAAAGCTGATTTTTTTTTATTAATATCCGGGAAAACCCTAAAAACAGCGCTTTTTTATTTCCCATAAAACGGTTTTTTGACATTAATTTGACAACTAACTAATATGTCAATCATTTTGTCGCACTTCAGAACATCCAGATTTATGGCTTAAAGGTAAACACCAAAAAAATTAATAAGACATAATTTATTTCTTGATTGAGGCAGTACGAAGTCTGCCGGGTCAGCTAGTCTTCTTATATATAAAATCTCGTGTCGCTTTGTTAGACAGAGAACTCCTCCGAAACGACTTGACAGATTTTGATGAAATTTCGTGAACATATTGAGTAGGTCTGAGAATTAACCAACATATATTTTTCATACCTCTAAGTCATAAGGGTTCTTCACCCCCAATTTTTTTTAACTTCCGGACGCAATTTTTTGTTTTTATCTTTTTATAATGAAGCATTAAAAAATACATACAACCCAAAATTTTTACTTTTTTATCACCAACTCCTATTATTTATATGGCTAAACAACGTTTGCCGTCTAGTAGAAATATACATCTGTAAAATTTAAATATATAAATCATGGTCCTTAAATCACTTCGAAAGTTCCACACGATTTTTTTAAAAAGTATATTTTTATCAACACCTTTAAAAACTTCCTATTTGCGTATTTAACTTATTTTTTGAAAGATAAAAATATTTTTTATATGTCCGCATTTATAAATATATTATTCCAGCATTGACGAAATATGACGTTGTAGGAATCGTTGTGAAATCTTTTCCAGGCTTTCATGACGGATCACCAGAGTCTTCCAGAGGAGAGAAGGAAACATCTGCAGAGACTGAAAGCTAGCATCAACCAGAGGAGTGACTTTGATAAAAATATTGATGAAGAGGTTTACTTATTACTTTTACATCTATTTATATAAAAGAAAGTCGTATTAGTTACAATATTTACTCAAGAACGGCTGTAGTTAAAAATTGGTGGATAGATAGCTTAGAACCAGGAAAAGGAAGATATAAAATAAACTAAAGCGAGATAGGGCCCCTTAAACCTACACCTGGGTCGCAAGTCCCAGTCACTGTTGAAGCTCCTCTCACTACAACGATGGACCCGACACACGCACGTGAATACATTGAATGATGAGAGATTTCGTCTCATTTATCTATACTAATATTATAAAGCTGAAGAGTTTGTTTGTTTGTTTGAAAGCGCTAATCTCCGAAACTACTGGTCCGAATTCAATAATTCTTTTTGTGTTGGATAGTCCAGTTATCGAGGAAGGCTGTGGGCTGTATAACATCACGCTACGACTAATAGGAGCAAAGATGTAGTGGTAAATGTGTAAAAAACGGGAGAAATTATTTCATCTTTGAAGCCTTCCGTTGCGTGCGCCGTGAAAACGGTTCAAGATACAAAAAAAATATGTATTAAAGAATAATAGCTCTCTTAATGATCTAAAAAACAGTCCGCGACAGTATATGTCTATCTTTTAAGATTAACTCACAAAAACCCTTTTTATGGTACCTAATTTTGTCGAAATAATTTGTTTAAGTTGTATCAAAATAATAATATTAATCTTTATTCAAATAAACAAATAAATAAGTTGTTGGTTAAGAGTACTTCAATGTGAATAAAAAAAACATAGGTTTTATCCTGAAAATTCTACGGGAACTCGACCATTCCGAAAACCCCGCAAGAACGGGAACTATGTGGGAAGAACCAAAAATCTGCCGGAAGTCACTATTCCACGCGGACGGAGTCGCGGCAAAAGCTAGTATAATATGTATGGGAATATTATTCTGTTATTATTCCTTCGAGTACAAATCGTTCATCATATGACAAAATAATTTCATTTAAAATATTAGAAAATCGTGCTTTTCGATCACAAATCCAATAAAAATAAACTAAAAGACAAAAATGAGTAAAGAGTATTGATTTTTAGGAGGATCCTGTAATACTGTCGGGCTTGTTGTTCGAGTGGCTTGAAGGTCTGAAGGAACCGGTCCTCGATAAGGCAGACCTGGCCATCATCATCACCAGCCACGACTTGGAGAACACCATACAGGCTTTGGACACGGTAATAATACTACTACTTATTACTATATACTACCTACTAATATTATAAATGCGTAAGTTACTCTGTCTGTCTGTCACGCTTTCACGTTTAAACCACGGAACTGATTTTAATGAAATTTAGTACAGAAATAGAGTTGACCTTGACAAAGAATATAGGATAGTTTTTACCCCAGACTTTTGAAAGGTTCTCTTGGAAACGCGATATAACCGAACTCCACCCGGGCGGAAAGCTAGTATATATGTATATATGATTTAAAGTATAAGGACCTCATTCTATTTTGATTGATTCAAACGCCAATATCAATGTAATGTGGTTATGTTTTGATTAATATCATGATGACCACAAGTCTGCGTCGTCACTACATACGTATAGTTTCCCGTTTCTCATTCAATAAACTACGTTAATACTATAATGTGAAGATTTATGAAGGAAAACTGTTAACGCTACGTATGTTGTGACGATTCTGACTTGTACTAAGAATAGTTTCCATATAAGTTTTGTAATAAGTAAACATAAATAATATACTTACAAATATTTCTTATATAGATATCCAATTACTTTATTATACAGGGTGACTGGTGAATTACTATCGATACTTGAGGACGTGATATTTGACGATCATATATGACAAAATAAAAATTAATATAACATAAATATTAATAAACTTCTAAGTAAAGTTGACCAAAAGTTATGTAATTAATTACGCATCGTGTGAACACCCTACAGATTAGGTATACACACACACTCACACATACGCGTGCTCGGCGTGGTGTTGTATCAGCACGCCGCCACACGCGACCACACTTGGAACACTTGGACCGTGTCAACACTTTATTTATTTATACGGAAATTTTGTCAAAAATTAAGTGCCTATTTTTTTTACATAATTCGAATGAGAATCATGTACCGAGTATTCTCCTTAAATATTGATAGTAATTCACCAGTCACCCTGTATAATTACTATATTTATCATTCTCTTACTATTTTTATACGTATTTACGCAACAATCCATAAATGTTTCTATAATTGTTTTTTATATAATATTTTTTCTGCTATTATATTCTCTTTTGAATTTATTCAACACTTCACTAATAAGTTATATATACTATTTATAAATTCAGGAAGCGTTTTATTTATTAATTTATATATTTTATATTTTTAATGAACGAATGAATGAATGAAACGTCGAGAGTATGTAGTTGTTAAAATAATGAAATACGCTATAGTAGGTAAATACATAGATTTTAGTTTCATTTAAATGAATACTCGTGAATCTTTAATCTTACTATGAGAACGAATGAATGAATGAATGAATGAATGAATGAATGAATGAATGAATGAATGAATGTAGTTGTTACTGAATGTGTTCTAACTCCAGGAAGACGTGATTCTCGTGGAGTATCTCCTCCGTGTGGTGCTTCGTCTCCGCCCCCTCACAGCTCCCAGGTCTTTGGAGCTCATCCGACGAGTGCTAGCCTCCCTCACTCATCAGACACTCATCATCAACGACACTCGACTCCCGGCCAAGGAACTTCCAGCACTTAGAGAGGGAACGCACCAGCAGCTGGTGAACTTCATGCTGAAATTCCTTGTAGAAATACAGAAGGATATAGCTAGACCTGGAAATGATGACCTGGAAGTAGTCGCGCCACAGAGGAGATACAGAATAAAAAGGATTAAATGATTTTTAAAGTAATTAATGACTTATTTTCATTTTACTCCTACAATCCTAATAATGATTTTTAAAGTAATTGCTGACTTATTTTCGTTTTATTGCTACCATCATAACTTATTACTCGTTTTGGAATGTAATACTGAAGGTATTGACGTTATTCACATAAAATATTGTAATAATTACTGTCCGAATTGAATTAGAAGTCGTGCTAAGGAAATACCTTAACACAAGTTTCCATCGTCACACTACTTACTCAGTTTTCCATTCAAAAGTCCTTGACAGGATAATATAAACGTAAGTTTAAAAGTGCAAAACTAGGAACGCTGCGTACGTAGTGTGATGAGAAGACTTGTAGTAAAAAAACAGTTCTCACACATGACAACGAAGGAATCAAAATAATTGAAAAACTTGGATAGTATAAATTTAATGAAATTTAAAGAAAACGCTTCAATTGTTTAGAATTAATAGCTCAATAGTTAAATAAATCGATTTCCTTTATAATAACAGATTTTCTCGTCCGCTGATGATCAGGGTCGCTGTAAAGTAACCATAACTTTAGGTAATATACAGGGTGACTGGTGAATTACTATCAATATTTAAGGAGGATACTCGGTACATGATTCTAATTCGAATTATGTAAAAAAAATAGGTACTTAATTTTTGACAAAATTTCCGTATAAATAAATAAAGTGTTGACACGTTCCAAGTGTTCCAAGCGTGGACGTGTGCGGCGGCGTGCTGATACAACACTACGCCGTCGCCGCGTCTGTGTGAGTGTGTCTGTATACCTAATCTGTAGGGTGTTCATACGATGCGTAATTAATTACATAACTTTTGGTTAACTTTACTTAGAAGTTTATTAATATTTATGTTATATTAATTTTTACTTTGTCATATATGATCGTCACAAATCACGTCCTCAAATATCGATAGTAATTCACCAGTCACCCTGTATACAATACTTTATTAAATATTGGTAAAATATCTAAAAATGAGTTTCATATCAAATGTATATTTACCAAAGTCATATATTATATATTATCTTTGTACATATATAAAGTAAAGTCGTGTTAGTTACACTATTTATAACTCAAAAAAGACTGTACGGATTAGGCTGAAAATTGGTGGAGAGATAGCTTTGAACAAGGGAAAGGACATAGGATATTCTTCATCACATTGTAAAAAAAAAAAAAGTTGATCAAATCCAAATTCTTCTTTAAACTGTCTTTAAGGAGGAATAGTATGCGCCCGGTCAGCTATACAATTCTAATTCTGAAACTAATGCAGACGCAGTCGCGGGCAAAAACTAGTTAATAAGCAAAGTCCGTTTTAACTCCTTCCTCGTGTTCCCATTAAAGTTTAAGATTTTAGTGTGAAATATTGTAATCAGTATTTTTTATATAAAATAACATAAAACGATAGATTATACTAAGACCATTCACATTTCGAGTTGAGAATTAAAATATCAATACAATAATTTATTATTCGTTCATATAACTCCTAATTTAATATGAAGTAATTTTTTCACTAGATGTGAATACTATATCAAAACGAGATTTTTTTAAATACAAGCAGTAATATAATATATAGTTAGGAAACTCCTTGGTCAAGAAACAAAATAGAAGCCGAGTTAGGAACTCCTTGGAAAAGAAACAAAATAGAAGCAGTGCGCAAAAAGAAACATCGGCACTTTCTGGTGGTCCGTCGTCGAGGCAACATCGCTCATGGGTTTTCGACTATTAATATTGGTTTAGCAATTAGTCTAAGGCTATTTTAAGGATATTACTCTGTAAGTACTTTAATTGTTGTTTAACTGGAGTTAGCAGGTTATCATTTCATTCCTTTATTTACCTTTTATATTTGTTCATTTTAATTAATATCGCATAGTCAAATTGTCAAATGTCTTACTGTTATTTTATTTTTAAAAATCCGAACGAAGTTCCTTAATTCAGAAGTGGGATAAAGATCTCTTTTTTATAAATTCTTTGGTCGACCGTATTTTGTTTTCTTTTTGACAATTATGTCTAAGAAAATGAATCGTAATCGATCTAAATCAGAAAAAGATGACGCCATGAGAAAAATAGATTGATATCTAGCCCACATAGATACCCTAGTTATTAGTTGTCGTAGATCGAGACACGAGTCAAGCTGCAGTAAAGCTTCCCGACACTTACCCGCATCACACTTACTTGGTAGTGATTCATTGAATGATAATTTGGATAACATTTTAGTAAGACTCAAAGCTGTCGATCAGTTTAGTAATAGTGTTGTAGAGTTACAACATAATTATAAGGAAATGTCGCTGAATCGGTCGTAAGAAATGTGTCTGTAGTTCACAATCACATAGTTAATAGTGGCAACGAGTCATCAAACGTAAATAGTTGAGATAACTTAAACGGTGTCCCTCAGACTACGACTCACGATCAAGGTACTGTTCGCTGTTCTCTGTCCCGATACTATGTCAGTTTCGTATTTTACCATTGTGGCAGAAGCCTTTAAGAATCTCGCACTCATAAAATCGCTTCATTATTGCGTGTAAATTTTTGATCCTTCTGATTGATTTATTGTGTCTAGAGGTAGATCGCGCAATGATAGTGGACAGTGGAAGATCATGTGTGTTTTTCCCGGGAAGCATCTTATTTAAAAGGCGACGCCAAAACATAACTAAATTCATAGGTCACAAATGGCCGTACATGGATATTTTTAAAACTCATTTAAGACCTCTCTGTCCTCAGAAGTTGGACTCCGTTAACATTTCGTTTGCATGTATGAACACGACATACGCTGGGAATGTGAGACGTACATTATAACGTTTACGATTGGTTAAGGATTTATCTGCAGAACTTCGAATTGTAATAATAAACAAACCAACATTAACAACTTTCAGAATAAAATTATACTCCCGCTGCTAAGTCGTCTTAATACGCGCATTTATTAAAAGTACAGGACACTGTGAAGACGCATGTTTTGTCAAGAATAGGTCAAGATTAACTAACTACCAAAATGTAAGTATATGTTAACCGAAGCTGGTGAGAAATATCGATGTGGTTCCTGCAGTTGATAGTGCATACCGATTAACATATTTATCAATATTGGTGATCACAACATATCACTGGTTTCTTCTGACCTTTTTAAATTACTTTATTGCCAATCCAAGTACATGACGTACATTACGAGACTTTAATGAATACGAAACCTTTGCCTTTCCTCACAATACAGTAACTATTGAGTTCAGCAATATTTCTTTTTAAGATCTAGTAGTAGTACCGTCAGCCTGCATGAATAACGACAGATGTTTTGAATCGTGTTGGAGTAATGTATGTAAGAGTAACAACAACAGTATATCACTCACGGGGATCAGTCAGATTAATCAAGTACCAGCCATCGAAAACTCTTTATTAAAATCCCTCTGCCAGGTAGTAATCTGCAATCATCAATGTTTGTATTGCCACTTTTCTCGGATTTCCTCGTGTACCGCTGCCACTACAGTACAGTATAGGATGACATAACTTCGTCACCGGCCCTGATATGGCGACTTCATGAAATGAGAATCAGGGACGACTGTATTCGCTACACAGGCTTCGTTACGTCCGCGTCAGGAGGGAACTACGAATACTGAAAGATGCCATATGGTTTGACAAACTCATCTATTGTTTACAAACCTATTATCAATTAATGATATGCTTCGGGAATTCATTGATTTTGATGACTTGCTCGTTTATATCAACAAAGTACTTCTTCTGAATTTTAATGCTAAAAAAAAGGTAAAGGTAGAATTCTATTTTTTTCGATCAATATTAAAATAAAATACTCGTTTCTGAATACCGAATTTGAGAACTTAGACAGACATATAAGTGGTGGTCAGGTTAGCCTGAGCGCTAGAAAGGAGGAGGCTCTGCAATTACATCATTACATGAACTCATCTGCAATTTTATTTTTATTTTATTTTGTTTATTGGAGAAAAAAAAAAACAGATCACAGGAGTATAACAAAAAAAAAAATATAAACAACAATACAGCATATTAAAGACAAAATACCTGTGTCCTCAAACATTTCTCACCAAGAAATATAACTAAGTAAAAATGAGAGGATGCTTGGGCACGTACCTCACTAATAAATAAATTTGAAAGGCGATGTGTAAACCTAATCTAGTATGTGAAGGGAGCGATGACGAATGTGCAGAGAATATCCAATACTTAAAACAAACTAAACTAAATTCCCAGTCAATGTAAATGAAAAACAGGACTGCTAGGTGGTTTATTCTTTTTTCAATAATACGTCCCGCAACTTGCTGTGAAACGCGGCAGAGTTATGACGTAGAATATCAACCTGAGAAAATTCGTTATGAGTACGACATATTTTTCGTATTGGGGCGCGTAATCCCGCATTCGTGTATGATCGCGGTACATGAAATAGAGATTAATTACAATAGTGAAATAAGGTCAGGGCCTTAAAATATTTCCACCACAATCTAGTTGGCATCCAGTTTAAAATTGTAATCCAATGTAATGTAATGCTCTTAAATCAGCTCAACCAACCACTCAACGTGTGATGCCATGGAATTTAGAATGGTGCCCAGATACTGGTGCTATAGTATTCGATGGTGAAATTTTTGAACTGTTTTGTCACTTTGCTCATTTTCTTTTAACGACTGTTCTCAGACGGGGACATCCCGCTGGCCTGCAGCTGGTGGAGGTTCGAGACACCGCAGGCGTCTCATTGACCGGCTGCCGGGTGGGAGTTCAAGACGCAAGTCTACTCATCACCACTGGCGTTTGTCGCCTTGGCGTTAGTCGCCTTTGACGTGTGTCGTCAGTTTGCGTTAGTCGCATTGGCGTTTGTCGCCTTGGCGTTAGTCGCCTTTGACGTGTGTCGTCAGTTTGCGTTAGTCACATAGGCGTTTGTCGCCTTGGCGTTAGTCGCCTTTGACGTGTGTCGTCAGTTGCGTTAGTCGCATTGGCGTTTGTCGCCTTGGCGTTAGTCGCCTTTGACGTGTGTCGTCAGTTGCGTTAGTCGCATAGGCGTTTGTCGCCTTGGCGTTAGTCGCCTTTGACGTGTGTCGTCAGTTGCGTTAGTCGCATAGGCGTTTGTCGCCTTGGCGTTAGTCGCCTTTGACGTGTGTCGTCATGTGCGTTAGTCGCACGGGCGTTAGTCGCCCTTAACGTTTGTCCTCAGTTGCATCAGCCGCCATCAGCGTTGGTCGCCACTGACGGGAGTCGCCACAGACGGGAGTCGCCAGTGATGGAAGTTGCCGATTGCGTGAGTCGCATTGGCATGAGCTGCACTTCTATGGTGTTGGTAGCCCTTCAAAAGCGTGAGTCACCCGACAATGGTAATGTACTGTGGGGATGTGAAATTGTTGGGATACCGTCGATTTCACACCTTTTTCTTTATTTTCACTTTATCTGTCTTGGATGCCGTTTAGCTTACATTACTTTGTTTATTTGAAAACCATTTGGACACTACACTCATGCAAACAATAATGTTTCCGATAGTAATGGTGATGTTATTTCAAAATTCAGGATGACAATGTTAAAGGTGCTTCGGCCGGATCGTCTATGCCAAACCTTGAAGACGAAGATCGGGAAGGTGGCGCAGTAGGCGAGGCTACTACTGAAAAACAGAGAGAATGTGGCCGAGGACGACCAAGAGTCAGGAGAGGCCGAGTTAGGAAACTCCTTGGTCAAGAAACAAAATAGAAGCCGAGTTAGGAACTCCTTGGAAAAGAAACAAAATAGAAGCAGTGCGCAAAAAGAAACATCGGCACTTTCTGGTGGTCCGTCGTCGAGGCAACATCGCTCATGGGTTTTCGACTATTAATATTGGTTTAGCAATTAGTCTAAGGCTATTTTAAGGATATTACTCTGTAAGTACTTTAATTGTTGTTTAACTGGAGTTAGCAGGTTATCATTTCATTCCTTTATTTACCTTTTATATTTGTTCATTTTAATTAATATCGCATAGTCAAATTGTCAAATGTCTTACTGTTATTTTATTTTTAAAAATCCGAACGAAGTTCCTTAATATATATTATAAACTATGTATATATGACTACACATTTTTTTTTAATAGAAGGATACAACAAATACAAAAAATATTTGTGTTGTAATTAAATATTAAAAAATAATACGATATTTCTAACTTTAAATAACTTAACAATAAAATCGTGGTGGTTTGGAGGTTTAAGGACCCGGCTCTCGTGCATGAGGGCGCGGGTTCGAGCCCGGCCAGTACATAGTTCATTTTTCAGTTCAGACTCCACTGACAGACACTGAAGGAAAACATCGTGAGGAAACCTGGAACTGGACTTATAATATATAATAATAAGTTTGAAATCACCAACCCGTTTTGAGCAAGTGTGGTGATTAATGCTCAAATCTTCTCCATGTGAGAAGCGGCCTTTGTTTAGCAGTAGTCTCCGATAGTATGACAATGAAAAGTATTAAAGGTGCAACGAGCTAAAATTACTATACATTACAAAAAAAACAGAATGAATCATGGTATAAGTTACGTTGCCATCTAAATACTATAATATATATTACTAAATGAGTGTAAAGCGACGTATTTGTTATATAATCTACATATTCAACGCTTACATTTTCATATCATTAAACTTAAAACAATTCAATATATTCAACTTTGACCGGCAGCATGAATTTAAATACAAAACAAACTTGAATCACATAAATCAGTATTAATATTTAAAAACCATATTATCGACTATATCTAAGTTTACGTTTTAACTCGTATTAAGTGGTTTCTATATATTTATTTATTATAGTATATATTTTATTCGTCTCAAACATATAAACTCAAAATTCAATGTCAAGTATATACGACAAATAACCTTAAACAAAACCTGTGAATATAATCCAGTCGTACGTTTTAAACAGTTTAAAATTTATATATGTAAAAGAATGCAAGCCTCTTGTTTATCGGACAGTCTGTAATTAGACCTCAATCAAGCATGTTGTACTTCATTGCATATATTCTGTTCACTATATTAATTTTAGCGGTCAAAGTAGTGGTTGGTTTTTTCTTACTTATATTTTTGTGTTTTGCCCTCGTACGGCTGTGGTTTGAACCTATAAAGGGTGTGTGTAAAGCTAAAACAAAGCTCCATGGAAAAGTGGCGCTGATTACCGGAGGCAATTCTGGAATAGGACTGGAAACGGCGAAGGATTTGGCACAGAGAGGCGCAAGAGTCATCATAGCTAGTAGAAATGATAAAAAATCAGCGGAAGCCGTCGAAGAAATCAAACGAATCAGTGGAAACGAGAAAGTTGAATATAGACATTTAAATCTTAGAGACATGGACAGCGTGAGGGAGTTCGCAAAGAAATTCAACGAGGAATTCGATCGTTTGGACATTCTGGTAAACAACGCTGGCATCGGAGCAGCGAAGAATGCGCTGACACCTGACAACATAGATATCTTGATGGCTATCAACTACGTAGGTCCTTTCCTCCTCACACACTTACTACTAGATAAAATCAAAGCCTCCAAACCAAGTAGAATCGTAATAGTATCATCATACCTCCATTTCCACGCAAACTTTGAGTTAGACGATCTCACGAAGGTAACAACAAAAAATACATTAATCAAATACTGTAATGCGAAACTCTGCGATGTTCTGTGGACAAAAGAACTATCCAGAAGATTGCCAGCAGGTGTAACAGTGAACGTGCTCCATCCAGGTCTCGTGAGGACCAACATTTTCGATACATTACACAAATATATAAGAAATCCTTTGTATGTTATTATCGACCTGCTTTTCAAAACAGCGAAGGAAGGAGCGCAGACTGTTATATATTTGTGTGTTGATCCAGCAGTTGAAAACATGACGGGAGGCTACTATATGGACTGCAAGAAAATACCTTCATCCAAACTATCAGAAGACGAAAACCTCGCGAAGGCATTGTGGGATAAAACATTAGAACTTGTTAATGTCAAATCCGACATATAATATATTAAAATTATAACAATACATATGATACAATTTCAAACATTTTTGTTATCTAGTAAATTGGACTTACGTGACATTATAAGAACGTTGTCATTTAATTGCTGATTGTACACGTATTAAACAGCAAATACATACATATTTAAAATATAGAATAGTGAAATGTATACAAAATATAATTATTAAATAAACCTGTATTTTAAGTGGAACAAAATTACGAGAATACAATTATCATACTTTTAAGTCATTTAAGTTAGTTTTAAAATATGTTATGAAATAAATTGTATAAAAAAAAACAAAATTTCGTTTCTTTATCTATATTAAAGAAACACACTCTTAGTCTGAGTAATTACCGTGAAATTTTTACCGACAGTTTCAAAGTATTTCATTCATATGTAACGATTTAATTATCATTCACTAAACTGTCAATGACAGATAATTATGTGTTGCCAACTAATATTAAGGACGCATATAGCATTTCCAGTTAGCTATCTGTTTCGATGTTTCCTGTGATAATTTTAATTACTACATATGTTTTTTAAACTGGTCTAGACTAGTTTCAACACGAGACTCTACTTCAGACTGAGTTTTAGACCATGAGTCCGTTCATTATATTTATTTGTAAATAATCATCTTTATTTATATAATTATTAATGCATGAACATTTTCATTAAGTTCACAATTTTAAGGTCAACTCAGTCGTCATAAGGTGAACTGGTCATCTCAGAACAACAACACTAATAAATATTATAAACAGAAAAAAAAATAATTGTTTTACAACTAACTGCATGACTACTTGTGATATATTTTTGTATACATATCTTCAAATTATCAACAATTATATGACATAACTATTTATTATCTAAAACGAACACTTCATTATAGTTTTACGTTATTTTTATATTATATTAACAACAATAGTAATATTTCTATGTATTGTTTGTTATTTATTAACCACTTTATAACACCATTAAATATTTTTCCGCCAATAATATTGTTAAAACGCCATAAACTTAGGTCTTAGAACGCCTCAGAACGTAAATTCCGACTAGCCGACCTTCAAATACCTTTTTACATTTATCTTGAAGAACCCCACACAGTATTCCCGTGGAAAAACATTAGCACATATATTATTGCATAGCGCAAACATTGGCCAGAGGATTTTGCTCTGAAACCGCACTGTACCCGCAATTGGGGCCACGTTAAAAATAATATTTTTCGGATGTAATACGTGATTTTATTTTTGATTAAAAAAACTACATACACCCGACGTTTCGGCTACTTTATAGCAACCGTGATCACGGGCAGACGAGATGTCCAAGTTATTGGGATGGACTCCTTACCAAGCTATCAATGACGAAAGATAGCCGTTAGTATTACGTCAAATAGTTCCTCAGAATACACGCACACAAACATCAATAGAACACAAAGGAAAGCAAAATATATCCTGAACTTTTATCGGCTATGAGCTGATCATAGAAAATTCTCGCATTTCATTTTTGAATGGACTCAAAAAGTTAAGTTAGTATGGGAGTATGACGTAGATATGGGAACAGTAATACATCTGGGGTCAGAATCGATGTTTATATACTATAATGAATTACTGATTGATCTATTCTGTACACCAAGTTTCCTGGACAATTTAGGTGGTAAAGCCTAGCTGTGGTCAAGTTACTGCAGCTCGAACATTGGCTGGCTCGACCGGGGAAGAACAACCCATTCACAGAAGATTAGCGTGAAGTAGCCTTTAATGGCTGCGTTTCGTTCGATGAGTGAGAAAACCGATAGCAATTTTTCTCCAGAAAGATAAATACCTCACTTACCTCACAAAATTTCTAAAATGCAAGTCATGCATCATGTCGATCTGTTGATGAAAATTATCTGTTATAAATCCCTTTCACACATCTCGTCTGCCCGTGATCATGGTTGCTGTAAAGTAACCGAAACGTCAGGAAGTAGGTATGTAGTTTATAGTCAAAAATAAAAAAATCGAGTAGTAAATCCGAAATATTAGTTTTTCAAATGAGTACTCGCGAAAATCTTAGATCTCATTATAAATCTCTCCATCTAATAAAGATACATACAACATTGCATCCCAATAGCTAACAATGAAAAATCAATCATTTTACTCATTTATATACGTATACAGGGTGACTGGTGATTAATGTTGATTCCCAAAAAGAGGGTTGATGTCAGGCAGGCGGCCGGTCGTAAAAACAAATAGCCAAAACCATTCACAACATGTTAGGCAGACCCTGGCTATAGCTGGGAAAAATTGCCAGGTAGAAGAAGAAGAAGACAGGGTGACTGGTGAATTACTATCGATACTTGAGGACGTGATATTTGACGATCATATATGACAAAATAAAAATTAATATAACATAAATATTAATAAACTTCTGAGTAAAGTTAACCAAAAGTTATGTAATTAATTACGCATCGTGTGAACACCCTACAGATTAGGTATACACACACACGCGTGCGGCGGCGTGGTGTTGTATCAGCACGCCGCCGCACGCGTCCACACTTGGAATACCTGGAACGTATCCACACTTTATTTATTTATACGGAAATTTGTTCAAAAATTAAGTACCTATTTTTTTTTAATAATTCCAATGAGAATCATGTACCGAGTATTCTCCTTAAATATTGATAGTAATTCACCAGTCACCCTGTATACTATATACGAATTAATAATAACTAATAAACAGCCTGTGTTCATTTGTTATTTACAGATACAATTATATACAGTCCCTTTTAAATTCATTTTTCTACTTCTAATGACGGCTAACCACCGTCCATTTGCATCCAACAGTTCAAAGGTGTACATATTTCAATAAAGAATTCATTGATTGCGGAATTGTTTATATAACCATCATAAACTAGTTATTCTAATAAGGGAATTATCATTTTTTACGTCCATTGAATTGAATTCACCTCGAAGATTCATTATAACTACAGTTTAAAGCAAAAAAAGAAATCTTTTTAAAATGTTACGCCATATTTTAATTATTTTTTTAAAGGTTGACAGACGTCGCCTAACGTGAGATAACTAAAATTACTTTTACTTTCCTACCATATATAAACGTAATTACATATCTGCATCATTTATTTTAGATTTAAACTCATTTTTAATTTAAATGAGGAAATAAAATTTAAATTTGTCTTTTATTTTTATATACTACCAATGTATTAACAATACTGATTTATCTTTCTTAGCACTAGCGTTTAATCTCCAGCATAAAATCTTCTTAGAGACAAATGAATTGTTTATATCAAGTTTTCAAAAAAAATATGGACTCTACAAACAAAACCGACAACGAATTTGCATTAAAACTATTCCTTCAAAAAGTTCAAAGTCTAGTCTATGGCTATCGCATACACAAGCATAGCTTCATATTAAGCTAGAAAGCTTATATAAGGATATAGTAACCTTCGTAAATACCTCTTTTTTAAATATTATTTACAGAAAAAAAAAGTATACCTAAATATTTTATTCTCACTTTTTAAAATTAACTCATAAACCGTAGCAACTAAATCAAAAAATGGCGTCATTGAAACATATTGGCTCTATGATCGAATAAAACTTAGTTTATCCAAAATAATATACAAAAAATAACTATGCATAGCCTTGTATATATGTGTAGTTTAAGAAATTTTTACATAAGTGTCAAATAAATCATAGTATACATATATCAAGGCGTTTAGATTGGGGCAATATATCATACTATGTATGATTTAACAATTTCTAAGTAACATTTGGTGTCATATTTTGTTAAATAGTTTTCGCACACCTATAACGATTACTGAAATGGCAATCTATTAATTATTATTTTTCTACCTCTTAAATTCTCTAAACTTATGTGCAAAAGAGATCTATTTAATGAAATTTAACCGTTGAATGTATTTTCAAGACCTACCAAAAGTTCGCAAAACATTATAAAATAGAAAAAAAATGCAATAATATGAGATCAAAATCTGATGTTAACGAAGTGTTTTACCGTGATTGAATACTCGCAACAAGTTACAGAATTATGAAAAAATATATTCTATATAATATTATGTTTCTTTAACAAATCCTACTAATTCTAATTAAACTGTAACTGTGACGTAATAACATAGGTAAAGGACAAATTAAAACCTTTTCATACAACATTTATATACAGAAGACAGATAACAAGAAACATTTCTTACTTATCACGTAATCGCGTTTCATTTCTTCAATAACTTATTAATTTAGTGGTATCTCGATTAAATAATTTTGTTATAAATATACCTGAACCGCTATTCTAAAAATCTTAAATACAATTTAAACGAAAAAATATATTTCTAAAGGACAAGAATCCGAATTTACATATAACTTTTTTTATCACACAATTCTGATACACAACTACAAATTGCATTCGTAATCTGTATTTACCGTACACTTCTCCGCGTCAGTGTCGCGTACTTACACGTTGTAATTTTTTGATTATTTACTTTAATCTTATCTGATTTGCCGCTTGTTATTTGATTAATAATATTATAACTTGAACAATGTCGACTCCAGAGGAAAGTGCTCAACTTAAGGCTGGCCATCCACCAGCAGGTAGATCGTTTTGGTTTTGTTGACACCACAGTTTTTTATTTTATTAAGTTCGCCACATATTGATAATTTGAGATGCATGATGTCATAACATTAAATGAAATACTTTTCAATGTTTTCCAATATTATTATGTGAGTTATGCTCTTCATTTTCAACATTTGACTTGAAAATCCGTTCCATACTTACCATACGATATCTCATAATGTTGTTAAACAAAGAATATTACTTTCAAGGTCACATGTTCGTCAGCAAACCGCTATCCTTATGTTACGTATACTATTTCATAATTTACAAGATTAATAACTATATATTCATATAAAAAATATTTCATAAGTAATTATCACAATTCAATTGTATTTCAACCAAAATTCCAGTGAAGGCTGGCGGCATGAGAATAACGCAACATAAAACAGGACATGTAAAAGACTCTAAGGATGTTGTACATACAGAAGATCTAACCGGACTCGCCGGTATAGCCCCAGTTCCTATCAACCCAGTGCTAACATCGGGGGCTCCGAACAAAGGCAATACCGACTTCACACCTCAAGCGGCACAGGTAGCACACAGTCCAAAGCCTCCCGCCCATATAAATATTAAACCCGCTACCAATATCCAACAGCCTAGGAAGTAAACTTAGCTGTACATATCAAATGTTAGGTGTTCGAAGATAATAAACTTCACGATTTCATCTTTGTTCTCATAATATATATAACACCTAACTAACTATGCTCACGGTTATAAACCATTATAATTACTGGGAACCATAATGATATAATTGCAACGTTTTTCCTTTTAATTATAAGAATATATGAAATATATTGATAATTTACTTATATGTGTTACAATAAGTTATATTTGTACTCGCAAAATTAATATTAATAGTATTTTGAGAGACTTAAATATATATTTGTTTGGTGTTAATCTAAATTTTATTCAAATTTTTTTTATTTAAGTTTTTTTTTTGCGACGACTGATTTATCTGTAGCATTGTTTTTTTTTTACATTCCATAGACAATGCGCATTCTATACTTGAAAGCTATTGTAAAAAATCGACAATAGTCTATGGTATATAAAATTGGTGCTAGAAAATAATTGGTTGCATTTAAAAATATATTTCTTGTTCCGTTAATAATATGTGTGTAATTTTTTTTTATTCATGGTGGAAGTGCTTTTGATCTTTTCGCCATATTTTATTTCTTTTCATAGGTTTAAATATATTTATAAAAATATTATTCGTCTTTTATTTCCTGCATACCTTTAATTGATATAAATATTAAATAATATAACAATTTAATTAAATATATAAATATAATAAAAATCACCTTGAGTATATAAATAAAAACTTTTTTAAATATTTTATTTGGAAGGCCGCTTGTATGTTTTTTTGTTTCTTGACAGCATAGTGTTGTATATCTGAAAACAATTTATTGTTTAGTGAATGGAAAAAAATAATTAAATTAATAAAGACATGTAATTTATATGATATATTAAGAGTTCCACTTTGTTTACAACACTATAGAAAATGTCTCAGATATTTTATAATAAAATTCAAAATTTTGCCTTAAAAATCATAAAATATACAAATTTAACTTTGTTCTTAATAATAAACCAATGCATTAAGTACTAAACATTATATTTATCTTAAATAGTTATACTTAAATGGATGATGTACTATAAATAAAGTTTTTAATATGTAAATTTAAATACTGTTTTCTTCAAAAAAAAAATTTTTAGCGACCACAGATAAAATATAATATATTACATTAAACTGTCAAAGCTTACCTCTTCTTCTGACATCTGTGCATGTAGAGATGGTCTCTGAGCGATGCGCGGGGAACCATTGTATCTGACGTTAAATTCTGTTACAGAAATATATTATTACATATATATAGTTGTATCATCATATTAAGCATTAATTTAAACACTAAGAGACTAATGTCAAACACTAAAACATAGATTATATTATGATGTATCATAAAAACGATTTGTACCAATTTTATCAAGATGGCGGCTGTAGTACAAAGATTTAAGTTTCACTTGTCGATCTATGCTCATAATAACTTTTCTGGTAATATAAATAATACAATTTCGAGCCCCGAGAAATTCATACTAGACCCAAATATAAGTATATATTTCAAAATTGAAATTAAACTTACGTGCGTCTTTTGAAGTGTCAAGCTTTTCAGGCTGTAAAATTGATTGCATTAAATATGTTTGAGACAATTATTGTTAAAATAATTAAAGAGGAATGTGAAAAATAATTGCTATAAATCTAATAACTTGGAATGTTCGGAAACATTTTTGAAATTATATCAAATTGTTAACAATAATTTAAGTAAAATACAATACTCAGTACTAATAAATACGAAATTTTTTAAGGAAGTCTTTATACATCTATGTTTGTTAACTATTCAAGCATAAACTACTAAACAGATTTTAATGAAACTTTTGAGTGATGTAGAAGAATCATTAGAATAACATATCGATCATAACTTATTAAAAAAATCGGTGAAATACTTTTTGTAAGAAGTTACGTATCACAGATCACAGATGTCGCTACTAGTTGGTTACAATTATATGTATATTTGCTCTGTATCCAATACCTAAGTCTACACGAGGGAAGTCACGGTCAAAACTAGTGAATATATTATTTATTAATTACCACATCGACCAAACTCGGCTTGTAGTACTTGGAGTTAATCTCTCTCTCACTGTGAGTCAATGACGGAGCGGCTACCGTAGCGCTGGCTGTATGGAAACAAAATAATTGCTAATTAAATATACTTATATATAAAAATAGGTACTATAAGTGTTATAGTTAATAGTAGAAGATTTTATATTTAAAAAATCAAAAAGAATTTTAATTATAGTTATTCTAAGTAATTACATGAATAAATTAAAAAATCATGTTTAACCGCTCATAGGAGATTATAAATAAGGTTTTACTTCATTCAATTTTTGTTAGATTTTTTTTAGTTTGATTTTTATCATTTTTACAAGCTAGGCAACTGTGATTATAAAAAAAATGCCAAAAAATTGTGAATATAGTGTAAGTTGTGATGTTTTAGATAGGATTATGTCTTATTTAGGTTGCCAAATACCAAATACTAACACATCTTGTTCCCCCAAACGCTTTCCTTATAATTGACCCTTCTTCTGCGTCTCTTGGCCCTCGCTCGAAGCGCGCTTTTACCACGAGACTCGCTGGACAACTTGTGGACAACTTTATGGTACAAACAACGAGATGATACATTTGAAACCTGGAATGGAAACCAGGAATTTGTATTACCAGCTGTTGCCAAAAAATACCTAAGACAATATCGTCGGGGATAGTGCAAATCCACGTAACTAAGAAGGCTTAAACTGATAATTTGCTTCCAATGTAGATGCTCCGAATTATACAATGCTAGTTACGCGGATTTGCACTATCCTCGACGATATAGTCCTGTAATCGTTGATGGTCCCATACATATGAACTTTTTGTGGTATGGCGATATTTATCGAGAAATCTTTATTTATTCTATAGGTTTTTGGAGATTGATTTAATAGCAAAAACTTCGTACTGTCAACAATATCCTATATTAATTAATTCTAGAGTTTTTGGAGATTGCTTTAATAGGGAAAACTTCCCAATATTGTAGTTATTAATATCTTTTTGTAGACCAACAAGAGTAAAATTATAAGAGTTTTTAATACATTTTAAAGTAAAAGCTCATATATTTATTAGATAGACTAATATAATTTGTATTTTATTAACCAGTTCACACTGTAGGTCGTCTATTTCGTCTTCCATAATATCCAACTCGTCTATATCCTTAGCGGGAACTATCAGGAGCTTCGTTTCTGGACAGGAGCCGCTCACTATCAGTTGGGATGACTTCGGAAATATCAATCGATGGGCAGTCCTGAGGAAGAATACTCACGTGATTTACCAAAGAGGTATAGGTTCTTGATCAATAAATTTTAACTGTATATAATATGCTTTACAATATAATGGAATGGAAAAAGTACAGGCAAACCCAGTAGTTTTCATAATAATGTAAGGAATAAAAAGAAAAAAAATAATAATTGTTATATTTCATACGTATTACGTACGTGTAATGTATTAAGAATTAAACGAACATCGTTAGGGTAACATCGTTGTATAGATAAAATTTCATATCGAGTGACTGCTGACTCCGCGGAACGAACACCAAGCCGTGTGAACCAGAAGATTCCTGATACACAAGCTATGGAATGGTATTGCTATCATAACATCGGGGCAATCATGTAGTCTTAGGTGTAGGTTATAAGTTTTAATGAAAATATTATTAGAATATTCATACATATAAGTATCGTAATTTTGCCTTAAAACAAATAATTGTGTCGTCATCAGCCTATCAGCGCCCACTGCTGAGCAAGGCCTCTTTCTCACATGGAGAAGGTTTGAGCATTAATCACCACGCTTGCTCAAGGCGGGTTGGTGATTTCAAACTTATAATTGTGAACAGTGAAATTATAAGTCCAGGTTTCCTCACGATGTTTTCCTTCACCGTATGTCAGTGATGTCTAAATACTATCGGAAAGTACATATGACTCCGAAAAATCACATTGGTACTTGCCAGGTTTGAACCCGCGCCCTCGGCAACGAGAGGCGGACCCTTTAACCACTAGGCCACCACTGACTTGTAAATTGTGTAAACAACTTAAAAAAAGGTTTATAATTTTTCAGTGAAATTTCTTATGCGACTTCCAACAAGGTTGCGTTAAAGATTTAACGCTAGTGGGGGGGAGGGGGATAAAAAGAGACAGAGCGAAAGGGGACGCGGGTAATCAATTGTGACTTGTAAGTAATGTTAATAAAGTTTGTCTTATTAACACTATCAATTTCTACTCCTTCCTATTTTCATTCCAAGATTACGAGATTACACTTCTTCCTCGCGTACTCCACACACAATAATTTTTTTTATAAGTTTTTTATAAGCTTTAAGTTGTTTAGTTGTATAGCTTTAATAGGCCAGTGCAGATTCCTCTAAAAATGATGAAAAGTGAAAATAAATTATAGTAGAATGAAACCCATTAGAAAAGGAGGGGAATATTATAAAAAAAAAAGGAAAAACAATTTACGGGCGATCTGAGGTCGGGAAGGGTACGGGTGTGGGTATTTAAGGGTAAAAAATGGGTTTTCTCGATTTCCGGCAAAACTAAAAGTTGTAGGTAATAAAAAGAGCTAAAACTCTTGTACAAACATTTTTTTCACATAACCTCAAAATTTATGTGATAAATTCGAAAAACCAAGTTTTTGGTTTTATTTTTATCTCTTATAAAAAACAATTTTTTGTCACGAAATTCGGTGAAAACTTTCCTTTTGATGTTATAAATGCACTGTAATTTATTTGATTACATATATTTATTTTTTCAGCTTATTTTGAATAAATACCGAAAAAACAGTCTCATTTTCAATCGAAAAATCACCCGTCAAAATATCAGCTATTTTCAAAAATTTGGTATGTTTTCAATTTGTTGAAATGTCTATTTTCCGATGGTGAAGAAAAAAATATAAATTTCTTTCTTGCAGTGCCGTTTTTTAATGAAATGACACTCTATATCGTTTGGAAAATGCTCTTTCAATTTATTTGTAATAGTTTTAGCAGCTTAATACAAATTTTCTGTAAATTACCTAAAACAGGGAATATCTGGAGAACTTCTAGAGTATACAACTATTAAAAATAAATCATATAAAGAAATTGAAAGAGCATTTTCCAAACGATATCGATAAATACCCACCCCCATACCCTTCCCGACCTCAGATCGCCCGTAAATTATTTTTCTGTAATTTTTATAATATTAGCCTCCTTTTCTAATGAGTTTCATTCTACTATAATTTAATTATGTTAAGCTATCGGCACTGGTCTATAATTACAATATTAATACATATTTAATTACTCAGACAGAAATTCAAAATAATTTTAACCAAATAACCATATACCTATCTACATTTTATTATGCAACTTAAATTACTCTATACATTCATAATATATTTGATTAAAGATATTGTTATAGGAATTAGGAGATTCTGTATAAGTTATACAAGCCTGGGTATATAACTGGGTGGCTGGAACACTTCCCGTGTGGACATATCCTGACAGACTCCATCCAATAAGATGACGTCTTCCATGAGCTCATTCACTACGAAGATCTATAGAATTGTATAACATATATCTACTAAAATTGTATAACATATGCAATTTATATGAAGTTTGACACGAGATTTGATCGTCAAAAACGTAAGATTGTAATTAAATTAGGTTAAAGTTTAATTCAAGAAATTCATTATAAATATATTTCAAGTAAATTTAAAAGAATTTAAACACTTTTTTTAGTATAGTTTAGGTTATATAATTATTATATATTACTATATACATACATACCAATATAAAAATACAAGCTTAAAAACACCTATCAAATCTACATACATTACTTCAAATCCTGGTTTTAATAAGAACAGAAAATTAGCTAGTGACTATTTTACCAATATTTTTTTTACATATAATTCTTATCGTACATAATATTCAGGTTATGTATATGTAATATATAAGCACTATTATTATTTAAACATGATAATAATTTAATATATTTGATAATTATATTCTTTTGTTTTTTTTTCTAGTTACCTTAAAAGCCTTCAAGCAAGGCACGAACGCGTGCTCCAGCCTCATACTTATTTTTTCGACCGACCAGCCGTGGTAGGCCGGCACGGTGGGTAATATCATCATTGTCAGCTTTATACCGATCTCCCTCCACATGGCAGCTTCTAAACTATTATTTTCATAATACATTTATATTAGAAAAATCTTATTGATTTTGAATTCTAAAGCCCCTGAACTTTATAGCAGCTTGCATCCTCAAATTATTCTTTGTCAATGCAAGCTAAGCAAACTAATATTTTAGGTACATACAAAGCGTTTCCTTTCTCATTCAATAACGTTAATAATAATGAGATTTAAAACTTACGATAGTATTCATTTAAATGAAACTAATATTTTCGGATTACTATGCGTATTTTATTATTTTAAACTACATACTTCTGACGTTTCAGTTATTTTGCAGCAACCGTAAAAACGGGCAGACCATGCGACAAAAACGCTTAATAATTAATCATAAAATGTTAGTTTCATTTAAATGTATGTGACTATACAAACTTGAAGTGAGAGTAATCTTTAACGCGCAATAAATGTAAACATAATATTTTTAAATGAAATTAATATACTTCTATCTACATATCATTACATTTTATACATTTATATTTAGTTTGGAAGAAAATCATTTAATTATTTCAATATATAATACTTATATTAAAATATATTAATACATACCCCATAATAGGATGAGGTGCCAGATTAAAAGCTTCTTTGACCGTGGCCATAGTGATGTAGTAGGCTTGGACTGCCGAGTCGCAACGGACGGTGTAGTTGTACGGACGGTTAGTGAGGGCCTTCATTAAGATATATAGTAAATATAATAAGAATTATATTATATACTAGCTCTCCACCCGCAGCTTCACCCGCGTGGAGTTCGGTTATATCGCGTTTCCAAGAGAACCTTTCAAAAGTCTGGGATAAAAACTATCCTATGTTCTTTCTCAAGGTCAACTCTATGTCTGTACCAAATTTCATTAAAATCAGTTCAGTGGTTTAGACGTGAAAGAGTAACAGACAGACAGACAGAGTTACTTTCGCATTTATAATATTAGTAGGGATAATAGTTATGTATGGCAGTTAAAGAAATATTAATTTGTTTGACGTATTTAGAACAAACATAAGGCTGACTTCTCTTACGAAATACGGAGTATTTTTTGGCAAAAAAAAATTAACATTAAATACAAATCTCCTCTAAGAAGAGTTTTTTTTGTGATATATATAAATTAGTCTCTATTTTTTAACTAATTTCTTTTGTCGTATGAATATTAATAAAAAGTGCGATTTTGTCTCAATGATCGTCACAGACCCGACTAAATGAAAGTATACACTTAAAAAAAATTTGGATTAAAAAATACTATGAACTTATCATATTCTGAAATATTCAAATATTGATATATAATATTAAAGAACATATTCTGAACAGGTCATTCACCCCTAAAATTCCAATCGCGTTCCCAGATACTATATAATCCTTGCTTGGTTCGGAGAATTTCAAATCGGTTATATATTCGTAGTTAGGTATGGCTTCATCTAAGTCATCTTCCGGAGGGATGTAGTTCGCTTCGCAGAGACCAGACACTAATATATAGATGCCTTTCGGCTGGTCACCTGGTGTATAAACTTCAATTTTTAAAGAAATTTTACGTAAAAACATAATGCATAAAACCGCAACAGCTGATATATTTTTTTTAATACCAATCGGAATCAAGTGCAATGATCTTAAACATTCTGCCAATGTGTAAATAGATTTAAATTATTTTAAATCTATGTGTAAGTAAATATGTCAAATTTATCACCTCGTGTTATTAATATGTCGTTGATGTTGTAATTAATAATCCCTGAATTTTCTAGAAAATAATCAGCGACCCTTTCGTTTCCCTGAAGCCAGGATACGGCTCGCAGTTGAGTCTAGAAAAAACTATTAAATAATACATTCTAATAAAATCTAAGACTTTGGCGAGTGTTCATTGAAATTAAACTAAGATTTATCGGATTACTACGCGTATTTAATTATTTTTAATAATAATTTTTGACAGATATTCACATCTCGTCTGCCCGTGATCACGGTTACTGCCGTCGACTTATACTAATGGACATGCCTTAGAGATGAGAATTGTGGCACTCCGAAACAAAGAGAGGAAACGAAGTTATGATCTATCTATCTCTCTCAAAATAGTACCGTACTGACTGAGCGTCAATCATATATGTGGAAAGAGATAGTGCTAGACCGAAAGCATAGGCCATCTCTTTCACTCTTTTCAAACCAAAAAATTACTGCAGATCATACGCGTACGGCATGTCCATTATTATATGTCGATGGTTACTGCAAAGTAACCTAAACGTCGGGGGTAAATAGTTAAAATTATAATATAAAGCGTAGTAATACAAAAATATTAGTTTCATTTAATATTAAATTCTATTACAAGGTGTCTCAATATTTTTTAACACGACTCTAATAAATGATGTTTAAAAATATATTTTATATTGACTATAGTCAATACACGTGTTTTCCTTCAATACTAATAAAATATAAAAACTGATTGATAAATATTGAAAAATTTTTTACAAATGATAAGACATCGTTTCGGATTATTCTCTAGACTAAATGAAATTTTATGATTGATAGTAATATTAAATTCTGTTTATAATTTTAATATAATATTTACTTCTGGCAATGATGGCGCTACTAAACTTCCTTTGTGTCGACACAACTGGACTTTCTCTTGTATCGCATTCACTAATAACTGATACTCCACTTCATCTAGAAAACCTGGAAAAATATTCCACATATTATATACTACAGAATTTATATAATTTTAATAAGTAAAAGTTTAATTTAATATCATGTTTAGCACTTTACATTAATATCTATACAAAAAAACATTGCCATATAAATATATTCAAAGAATACTTATAGTAATATATTTGAAAGAAGCTGATTAATATTGACATCATTATTTGTAATAGCAACCCTAATTTTCACTAATACTTGACAACAAGTACTATAAGTTGAAGTAAAATAAGTTTTCTCCTACACAAAAAGAAATTGAACATTATTACTAATATATAACTTATGTTTTATTGTATCTTATTTACTTTTATTCTGATTATAATTTATCATTAACTAATAAGGTTAATTTTTATTAATAATTTGTATAAAGATATATAATAGTTTCTATATAACAAGGAACCTCAACCTTCTTCTTTGAGTTGCATCGCGTCTAGCAACATTATATTTAAAGTGGAGGTGGTCGCCTGCTTCGTCTTCACAGTAATGGCTGTCCAGGGTCTGTCGCGCTGTAGTAAACCTAGTTGTCTTGTAACCGCTAATCTTTAAATCAAAATTAAGTTTTAAAATATTTTTTAAATTAAATTTATAAAACCAAGCTGAATCTAAAAAAACCTTCGTCTTAAAAAAACTTTTTAAAAATTCCATTTTATGTCAAACTGACAAATGACGTAAGTACGCTTTTTTCAAACAATACTCATGACTTAAAAATATTTGGTGTTTTTAAGAGTTCAACAAATTGAATATCTTTAAAATAGGATTTTTATACGTATTATAAAATTACCTATCTGCTTCAAGTCTATTGTACAAAGTCTCCTGTATCTGACGATTGTCGACCAATTGTGGAAGGAGGTTACATACTTCTTGCTCACCGGTTACAAAACCCTGGAATTCAAACCTTTACCTGACATCTGTACACAATTATTGCAAAAAAAATCTAATTTGTTACGTTTTCATTTTATAACTTCTAAGAAAAATATCATGGAATCTTTCGATAAAGAATATGGGTTTAAATAAAATGGAGTAAAATTTTGCGATAATAAATCGCTGTGTAGTAAAAATTAGTTTAATATCAGAACATACTTTGCCAACATCGTAGCCGTAAGCTAGCTGCAAATCAATCATTCGATCTATGTACGACATTACTTTGGGTACGGATACTCTGAAAACAAAAATTAATATTTATAACTCATATTATTATAATTAATTAAGTATATGATTATTTTATTAGTCTTTTTCGCGCCAAAATTCGAAAACTTTGAAATTAACTTCATCGAATTACTTGTGGTTATATATTGTCAAAAACGTAAAGAAAAGGTATTAGAGCCACAGTTGAAATACGAATATTCAACAGTGATCTAATAAAAAATATATATTCTTAGAAAAAACATCGACCAATTACATTTTCAAGCAATAACATTCAATTTAAATATTTGGTTTATTTAACAGTATTAGATTTTAGAGATTACACTCGTACGCAAGACTAGTATTGTTTTCAGTTTTTACTCGTTTATTATAACATTACACCTGACTTTTCCTTAACTTATTAATAGTGACGATGTAATATGAAATAAATTTACCTGGCCAACTTGCAAAGTCTTAGAAAACGCAGCATTCTTAAAAGCTTTGTAGCTGTTAAGAAACTTGAATTAAAATTGTTCCACTTGTTCCAAGTCGTAAGGGCATCTATTATGTCTAGAATAAGATCTGAAAATCATATTTTTATTAGTATTTGTATGAGTTTAATGAATTAAAAGATTGTCATGATTCCTCTGACCGCCAGTAGCCATCACAAGAATGATGAAATCCAATTTATTCCAATGAGACTTGAAGTAACCCTTCACAGAGAGTCCTAACATTTTGACAATCATCTCCAAAAGATAGACGAAGTAGAAAAATCTGATGATGAAAATAAGAAAGAGTAAAACTTCGGAAACTATTAATACAGAAGAAAAATATTGTTTAATTAAATAACTATGTAATTAAAAGTTTTTTTTTGGATTATACAACGCGTATTTTATTATTTTAAAAACTACGTAAGTACTCCCGACGTTTCGGTTACTTTTCAGTAGTAGGTACTTTTCTTTTTACGCGTATGTAGTAATCCGAAAAATATTAGTTTCATTCATATGAATACTCGGGAAGGTCTTGAACTCATAATTAAATAGCTATTGTTAAAATTTTTATCAATCTAACATAAACGCGATCGAATAACTTAAATAAACGAAACTAATTAAAGATTCACATCTCGTCTGTCCGTGATCACGGTTGCTGAAAAGCAACCGAAACGTTTGGAGTATGTAGTTTTTTACAAAAACAAACCAAGCGTAATCCGAAAAATATTAGTTTCATTTAAATGAATTTACAAATGTAGCAAATACTTATATGAATTGAAATACTATAATGTAAAAAGTCTATACCTAATCATTCTTAGATATTTTTTTATTAGCGCAAACGTTTAATCAAAATGGTGGACTAATTTTAATGATTAACGGCATTCTAATGCCGCTCTAAAGGTCTACAGATGGGTATATGTATGTGGGAATAGTTTTTTACAAATGAAAGCAAGCGTAATATACCCGAAATATTAGTTTCAATTAAATTTTAGATCGCAATACACAAATAAACACCTAAGCTATAAAACAATGCTCACAAATTCATGGATTTTATGGTGTAAACCACTTTCATGGAGACAGGAGTCTTCACCATCACCTCGCACAAGATGACGGGCGTGTTACAGAGTATCATGATGTATATACACGCGTCGAACCAAACGTTGGAGATGACCTTGTAGCACCACTGTCTCCACGGATGACGGGGAACCAAAGCATTGGCTGGTTCAGGCATCATCATGTCCACTAGCTTCTTACGGAGCCAAATTGCATGGGCCTAATAATAATAATAATAATAATAATAATATTTATTTGCTCTGAATGTAGGTACAGAATATAGGTGTATATAATAGAATTTAGTATAAGTTCCAGTACATTCTACCTTAAGGCACGCAAATGTTAGGCTTAAATTATAAATTAAAATTAACTTTTAAATTAAAATTAATATTTAATTATTTATATACTCTTTATTGCACACCAATATAGACAAAAATAATTAGAGTAAAACAAAGAAAAGAAAAATATGCAATAGGCAGCAATATTTCTAAAACAGCGATCTCTTCCAGGCAACCTTTGGTAGAGGAGAGAGATAATATAACGCATATATATAATACTTTACTGGTAATTGGGACTTGGAACTATTTGGGAGTCATTTAATAAGACTACATTATTATTATTTTTTTGCCTATCGGATGCCACTGCTGAGCAAGGCCTCTTTCTCTCATGGAGAAGGTTTGAGGGTTAATCATATCACTACATCTTGGAAGAAAACTCGATTAGAATAAAAAAAACAGACAATACTTAAAGATTATTGGACCTGAACTTTGCTATAGGAAGATTAGTTAATATCATTTAAACAGCTATAATAAAAAAATGCAAATGTAGATGAAAGTACTAATTGAGGGCAGTTAGCTGTTACTTAAAAACAAATGCTCTTAGGCAAAAATTGTTGCCAAATTTAAAAAATATGCGTCAATTTGAGATAGAAACAAGTAAAATATGAACGAAAACAAATAACTTTTTCTTTTTGTTAACCAGTGTAAAACGTACAATGTTAGAACAAATTTAGAATAGTGAATATGCGAAAAATAATAGGCAAAAACTAATATGACCTTTGGTTTCCACAAGTTTCCCAACTGATCTAAATTAATCCTTCCATCTTCAGCATCAGCCGCTACTTCCACAGCCTGCACGAGGGTTCTCACCCCGTCTTTACTTATTTTCCCATGTTCATATTGACGCCAGTAAGAAATCTTCATTGCTTTTAATACTCGTTGATTTGCTTCTCTGTTTTACAAAAGGAAACCTAATCTTGTAATATATTTTGGGATTTATTGGTTTGGTTTCAGTTCGCAGTTATTTTTTCATCAGATTAAGACAAAATACCGAAATTAGCGGTACCATTTTAAATATTTTTTCTTTTTATTGGGCGAAACTGATTTTTTATTTTTTTCTTACTTTCGAGATAGAAATAAACACCGATTATATAACAAAAGACAGGGACGACCATTCATAATGGTTTAATTTAAAATTAAATAAGTGCTAGTGAAAATTATTTCGTATGAATATATCCATACATTACTTATAAACTCAAAAACAAATTGTACATCAATAATTGTGCAGTTAAAATGATAAATTGGTACTAGTTTTGTATTAATCATTTAGAAAAACCACACCTCATCATTTCAGTAAATTCTTTTTTGGTCGGTTCATTAGGTATCTCCCGTTCACAGTCAGGACATGTTGTGTAGTGATAGCCCATGTAGGTCTCATCATCACTATCATCATCACGAGACATTTGAATCTGGTACGGATGTTTTATCGTAGTCCCTGAATACAGTAAAATTTTGCTATACTTCTCTAAGATTAAGGCAAAAAGACGAATTATGAACTAAAAGAATGAACCCTGGAATCTTTCCAGCATATATAAATCATCAAATAGTACCACGAGAGGGAAATCTATAATTGCTACCAAATTTTTTATTATAACAGCTATTAAATTTGTAGAGATTCCAGATATAACTGACCTGCTTGTACTAAGTCCCAATTAGCATCAGCCAAAAACTTGTCCATCTTAAGCATCGATATACATCTATCTCTAGTCAACATAATCCTCTTTACACAGTTCGTCATATTTGCCTTCTTCGCCAACGATATTTCAGCCAGGCCTAGGATTTTTAACACCCTTTTCATAGACGTCGCGTTTATCATCAAAGATAGTACTACTAGTCCCGCAGTTTGAATTATAAATATCTATGAAGAAAAGTATAATTACAATAGAATTTATAACAAAATAAACATTTATTTTTACATACTTCCCCAGCATCAGCCACAGCTGGTGTTTGAAGTACTATCAACGCCAGACACAAAGATAAAGGTCCTCTTAGCCCACCCCAAACACAAGCCAAGGAATGCTGCCAAGATATCCCATAACCTATGTTTCTCAAAATAGGAGTCATACACGTATACACTATTAACCTCGCGAAGTAAACCGTTGTATATGTAACGAATATCATAGCAACTTGTCTAACACTGATCACATAACTAACTTTCTCAAAAATAACCACCCCGACAATCGTGAACACCAAACTATTGGCTACATATGATAGAATGTTCCAAAAATGTGCAACGACTTGCTCTACCTCACCCGCAACTGTAGATTTACTCTGACTGACCAGCACTCCATTGATCACTGTCCCGAGTAAGCCGGACACGTAGAAAAACTTTTCACCGATGTAATAAGTCAGATAAGCACCAGCCATGGTCACAGTCACCACACAAAGAACGTCATAATACGTAAGAGATAGAAGCGTAGCAGTTATTTTACCCATAATGATTCCAAGTAATAAGCCTCCACCAGCAAATCTTAGCAGCATCAAGGATATATGTGACGCTGAGGTCAAAGCAAGCGATAAATAACCAAAGACCGCCGTAAATTCTATGATAGCTGTTGCATCACCAATCAAACCTTCCCCACACAAAAGAACGCTTATATATTTGCCTTTAGACATCTCTTTCAACTGTTTAACAACCTCCATAGGATGAATAGGAGATGAAATCACTCCGAAAAGGAAGGCTGTAGCAAAATTCCATGAAGATTCTATTAAATAATACGCCATGAATGCCACCATGAGAGCCGTCAACAACGCCCCAGGAACACCTACCAGCAAAATTTGGGGGAAACTTCTCCAGAACGAGTGTGAATCCACGGAGTAGGAAGTATGAAAAACCATAATCGGCAGGTAAGACAGTAGCAGCAAATCAACGTCCATATAACAAACTTGAACGAACGGCTTGAAATTTGGGTATTTATTTGCACAGAAGCCAATTATACCACCGATACTGAACATGATGACCCTATAGGGAACGCACAGACCGGTACACAGCATTATAGACCTTATCACAACACCGGTAAGCAACGTCGAAAATATAAAGAGAAATCCCAAAGAAGTCGGGTATGCGAGTGAGGGTCGTTCGGGATCTTCAAATCTTACGTACGCCATGGTAGAGTTGTGATAACTCTTATTTTTCGCTTCACATACTTTTAATAAAAATATTAATATAAAATAAATTGTATATCGTAAAGACATTTCGTAAGTCATAAAAGCGGGACCGTATGGAATTGTATATTAAGGCGACGGAAATTACTCAGCTAGTCTACTCTTACTTTAATCGAAATAATTTAATGTAACAAAAAAAAACTAATTATTCCTAGATTATTTTCATTTAGGCAAAACGTTTAAACAAAATGGTGGGCTAATTTTAATTGTCGGCGCCATTATAAGTTTACAAATCCCTAACAAATTTTTGGCGGGAAAATGACTTTTTAGGACTAAAGATAGATTGACGTAAAATAAAAAAATGGTATCCAGGGTTGTAATTAAAGCAGTGCAATAATAAAATTTTATTCAGGTCAGATTTTAAAATTAATAAATAATAAATTAATTATTGCATACAAATGGGATATTTCAATACATTTAACATATTTCACCTAATTATTGAATACTACAATCACATATTGATAGATTTAAAACTGAAATTATTGTACGCGTACTACAAGTTCGCATCGTCATTACGTAGCGTTAACAGTTAAACATAAATCCTCACATTATTGACGTAGTTTATTGAATGAGAAACGGCAAACGCCACGTATGTAGTGAGTGCAGACTTATACTAAGTATACTCTGGTTTTAATCATAAGTCTTTTGGGAACAGTAGTCTTATCCCACCAGGGGGCACTATAGGTCTAGGGCTTTTATATGGTGAGAACTTTTGTGGTGTTTTCCTTGGAGATCGTCTTGGTGACACAAACAGACAATCTTTCTTATCCACAGCATCTTTTTCTTTCATCTCAAGTTCTCTCAACTCCCTGTACGCAGCCTCCAACATTCGCTTCTTCCAATCCTCATACGGTTCTATTTTAGGCTCTGATGGCTTTTCTTCTGATATTTGGTCCACTTCCATATTTTCGATTTGATCTGGTAATAAAATATTTATATGAAGTACATAATAAATTTTGTGAAATTTTTAAACAATCATTAAATTACTCTTTGAATGTAATTAAATACATGATCTATATAAATATGTTAATAAAATTTTAGTATCTGTTTGTAATATTGAAATAACCGTTTTTTACTACATGCATATGAATACGGTACATACACCAAAATAACATTTTTTTTTCAATTTCTGTCTATCTGTCTGTTTGTTTCGGCTAATCTCAGAAATGGCTGGACAAATTGTGAAGGGGCTTCTGCTGGTGTAATAAGGAGAAACTCAGGAGTAACTTAGGCTACTTTTTATCCCGATCCCGAAATTAGGTATTGTTAGGCGCGAGTGGGAATCAGGACTTACGCCGCGCTTTAGAGGTTTTTTATTGTTAATTTTTTCTTTTTTTTTACCCAGACGAAGTCACGGATAACAGCTAGTAATATATATTTTAATAATTATACACAATATCATTATATTTTAATAAAACTAGATGGAAATTTAAATAAAATTCTATAAAATGTTAAATTCCTTTACACAAGCATTATTTCACTTCCATTTGTGCACATCAAATTTTTATTCCCATATTCTAATTTATTGAGGAGCTTCAACAGTGACTGGTACTTGCGACCCAGGTTTAGGTTTAAGGCTCTATCTAAAGCGCGTTAAACACTCACCTCCACCATCCAAGCTCCTCTCACTCCTCCTTTACCTAACCAAATTAATAACAGATGCTATAATATTTTTTATAATTATAGTCAACATAGATTTACCATTATTTTCCATATTCTTCAAGGGTTTGCCTTTTCTCTTTAGAGTATCAAACTTATCATCAACAAACTTAGTCCACTCGGAATCCATTTTACTCCACTGTGATAATTTTAATCGTGATTTTTCAACCAATTTACTTTTCGCCAACTTGACTTTGTTGATTCTGAAATAATGAAAAAAAATGAAAAATGTTTATTAACAAAAAACACAACATAATACAAAGAAATCCGGTGGTGCCCACACTAGGTACTCCTGTATCGTGGGTACCAATTGATAGATTTACACTACATGTCTTATGTTGTCGCTAGGCTTAGAATATAAATTACATAACTATTTTAAGATACATTGTATAATTTAAGTTACAAGTGTTCTTATGTTAGTGAAAAGGTGCTATACTAGGTGCAAGAAAAGTTCTTCGGTGGTATTGTAGGTCAATGAGGAGAGCCAAGGAATAATATTTACATATATATTAGGATTTCTTAATTTATTTAGTTCATTAAACATACACTCACCGACTCGCTTGATGTACAGCCATACATACATATTGGGGCAGATTTAAATCTATTTCCTAAAAAAATAAATTATTTACAATATATATTACTATAATAACTCTACTATTTAAGAATATAGTCAAATAAAAATGGATATATATATATATGTCACAACATATAAGGCAGACCCTGGCTAAAGCTGGGACACTGCCAGGAAGAAGAAGACATATAATGTTATTTCCACTACTAAATGGGTACATCTATGTTGTGTATTAGTTATTCTTTGTCGGTCATATAAAAGAATATGATGTCAATTGTCAAGTATAAGTAGGTAAATCACTTTATTATAATGGGTTCGACCATTGAGTCTTGCTACTAGCAAAATATATTACAAATCCCTACTAATATTATAAATGAGAAAGTAACTCTGTCTATCTGTCTGTTATGCTTTCACACCTAAACCAATGAACTGATTTTAATGAAATTTGGTACAGAGATAGAGTTGACCTTGAGAAAGAACATAGGATAGTTTTAATCCCAGACTTTTGAAAGGTTATCTTGGAAACGCGATATAACCGAACTCTACGCGAGCGAAGCTGCAGGTGGAAAGCTAGTTTAATATAGTTTTAATTGACACAATAGACTTTTAAGTTAGTTAGGAATATAGAAAACTATAAGATTCGTTGTTTTTACCGTTTTGGCCTGTTTCTGGTATTCTTGAAGTATATTCTCTGCTAAGCTCTGTAATCCAGTACATTGTAATGACAGACATAGAAACTGTACCGTCAATCTATCCGATTTCAGATCTAGAAGATTCTCAACTGTCTTTCGATTATTGTTGTATGATGGCCCTTTTAGACCGGAGTATTTTATCGCAGATTTCTGTAAAACAACATCAAAACATATCAGTTCAATTATTTATTTTTGTTTATATATGTTTTATGTGCTTAAATATTTAGGAAATTTTTTGATACAAAAAAATATCTGTTTTGGTCCAGTTTGTGGAAAAGTGGTAGAATTTGTATAGTGTGACCGTTATTCCTGAACAGGTTCTAGTCTACAGTACAACATTAGTATTAACTAGTATCTTTTGTCGGTCATTGTAAATAGTATGAGAATGAAACAGTCTTTTTATACACATTTCTCAACATATACTATTCAAGTTTCAAGAAATGTGGAAATACAGCTGACATATTATCTCTTATATATTATAACACAACATTATAGACTGAATTAATGAATAAAAAAGCATTTGCATTAAAAATATATATTTTTCTTACACGATCTAAATCTACATCGAATATTTCAGCAGCTAAGTCCAAACAGATCACAGTCTTGCTGGTATCTGATAATATATTACCAGTTAATTTAGTTTGTAAGAGGCGCTCGAACTCCGCAGCTTTACTGTTGAACAAATTTATGATGTTAAAATTTATTTCTATCACAAAGAAATAATATTATTAGAGATTCCATACTTCAAAACCTTCTCTTCCTCCCCGAGACCTAACTTAGAAGCTATTAACTTTAATGTTTTATTATGAAATGCCATCTTTTTATAAAATTATTAAATGTTTTTACAAATTTTGCATTGAAATCGCGCGGATTTTTGTTTACGGTTTTGACAGTTATATCATACGGCTGAGTTTATGTCAAATTTTATATTGTCTATGGTCATTTTTGGCATGAAATCCAGGAAATCAAAAAATATTATAAATTTTTGTTTTAATTAGCAATTAGAAAAATATTCCAATTACAACAACAATATCTATAAGGTAAAAGGGGCATATTAAATATATATTCTTATAAGAAAAACAACTTGAAAAAATTATATAGACTATATAACCTCTTATTTTAATTTTGCTAAATAAGACTTTTAAACTTTTTTTCAAATATTTCACAATATTCATGGTTAAAAAATATAATATTATGGCTAAATTTATATTAATAGTTACATAATAAACGTTTCAATCTCTTACTATTATTAAACATAATATTACTTCTCAGAATTTGATTTATTTTATATGCATTAATACTGAAATACTTTTGATTCAAATATGTACCAAAATTCTATGTTATTTGAATATATTAACAATCTTCTAAATTATCTGCTATTATCAGCATCATTTGCATCATCTCGATTTATATTTGACCACGCCCCTTTATCTCTGTTCAACAGAACTTGCAATGATAAAATACCTTGTCGTAATATCATAGTAGACGACATGTTGATTTTTTCTGTAGGTTCTGTGAAGCCGATACGGATCGCTGTCATTACTACAAAAATGTCTTTGTAGTTATCAGGGTGTAGGTCATATAATTGTAGACTTATTAACTTATTCGTGCTAAATTTTCTATAATAAAAGTATTATTAAGAGACAGAAGAGGATCCACTTCACCCGAATCAGGGGTGTGTATGCAGTGATGTTCGACCAATATAGATTTGTATCAAAATAATCCGAATCTATTTATAAATATTATTTTCTCATCTTTTACTTATGTTCAAACGTTAATAGTAGCGTCCGGTCTATAATTAACCTGTGAAAGTTTATAAATATTATAGTATACCATGGTGGATTCGCGAGTTGTGTCTTCTCATTGTGTATGAAGGTTGCCATTTTTTCGAAGGATATATAGGAGTTTAGTGTTATTGGGCGTGATCTTTGTCAGGCGGGTCGCGAGTGTCTCGTAGTGTGCTGTGTGCGGTGTAATACAGTGTTGGTGGTTATTTCAGATAGAGATGCGACTTGTATCGAGGTAACTAGTGCTGAATGATGTGGGCGCTGTGAGCGTTTGACGGCACCACGGCTTCGTCTGCGGCTAGTGGCGCGCGGGGAGCCGAGTCTCCTACGCAAGCCAACCAAGACACCGTGGACAACGCCACTCCCACTTGCTGGTAAGATACCACAGTACCATCACATTGTTATAACACCAACCAATTATCAGATGCCAGATATCTTATCAAACGCTTCCATATTCTATAAATAACAACACATTTCCCTCTGCTTCACTACTTAAACTGTTTGAGAATGCAGATAATATTTCCTGTAGTTTTTTTCTCGAAATTAATAGCAATATTTTCCATTTTAAATTTGAATATGATTTACAATTCATTGATAAACATTTCCATTGATAGATCCAAGATGTCTCTTAGTCTTGCATATATTTTTTCAAACACCATTTGCATAATTACCACTCATCCGTTCAGTTTACAATTGTTATTCAAATTTAATAATTTTCTTTGATTATATAGTTATTTATAACAGAGAATGCACTTAACAGTTTTGAATGCAAAAGTGGAATATCATATAGATGAGAAGATTGCCTGTCTGTGTCAATTTAAATACATATAAAGTATATATATTTAATAATATTCATATTTTGTGAGATATAATACTGTTTAACATACAAATAATAAAAAAAAATTTAATTAAACCTATGAAAATAATTATATTTTGACAAACATTATATATAAGAGTTCTCACATGATATCTTATTTGAAATATTTCATTGAATTTTCTACCAAATAATATTATTTTTTATTCTAGTAATATTTTATGTTGTAATAACATAAAAGCAATTACTGATTGAAATTTTTTCATGCAATTTTCTTGTTAATGGCTATGGCTTCTTATTTTTTTCTACTTTTTTTGCTAAATTGTGAGCTATATGCAATTTTATTTTGATTTTCAATAAAAAAGTTCTTATTAGGACAATATTTAGACTCCTTACAGTGTGTATTGTATTTCGATCAAATTAAAATAATAATTTGACAATTTTGTATCTCTTCTAGATGCTTGAGTGAAAATAATCTACTATCTCAAATATTATACCATCAAATTCTACAAAATTCTAGAAGTTTTCGCAGTTCATTACCCCAAAAGCATTTTACTCACAACAAGTCTACAGTCACCATGACAATTTTGATGTATCATGATTTTTTTTCAATTGATTTCTTCTTTCATATGTATTTTTAATTTTAATATATATATGTTATAATTATAATGTTGCGTAACTGTTGAGAAAACTGAACTTAAATATTGTTTTAAGATAAGATTTATATTTAGCGAACATCTTAAAATTTAAAGACTTTTGCTAAAATATGAATCATTTATATCTCAATTATAATATATATATATATATGTATGTATATAAATATATAATTTCTGTTTGATCGTTGACCGGTAACTGTACCTACTTTTATACCTAAATACCTACATCTTGTTACTCGACTATCTCATCCTAATGAATGATCGATAAGTGAACTAATTGTCGTATATTTTATAAGAATTGCTGACTGCAGTGTGTGAGGAGTAGGCAATTTCTGGTCAGCTGTAACTGCTAATTATATTAAAGAAAAAATTAAAATTAAATGCCGAAATTATTTCAATCAATTGCACATAAATTGATACTTTTAATAAGTTTTCAATATAATTCGAGAACAATCTAGTTTGTGTGTACAAATTACATAAATATGTTTTTTGTATGTCACCATTCATAATATGAATCTTTTCCTCATTATATCATGTATCATCATCATCAGCCTATCAGAGCCCACTGCTGAGCAAAGGCCTCTTCTCACATGGAGAAGGTACGAGCATTAATATCATGTATACTACATACATACTAGGTTATGGCCCCGGCGTCGTCCGTTTAGACGTCGGAATTTGGTTCACAGAGAAATTAATTATAGCAATAAATAGCATACCAACTGCCAGCGCCATCTATAGTGTGACGCGTGACTTATTACAATGACATGATCCTTAGGGAATTTATGAATAAATTTTATCCTATATTCTGATGTCTTGATATTAAACAGGAAAGTTTCACTAAAATCTGTTTAATAATTTTTGTACAAACATCTTCACGTATTTAAAACATAAGTAGGATGTAAGTATTGTTATAGATTCTCAAAAAACCGAACACAAATCTTACAGCATCACCACCGTTGAAGCCTTCATTTGAATTTTAAATTAATGTATTCATGTCCTTATTGTTATCTCATATAGTAGATTTTACGTGTTTTTTTCTAATATTTTAATCTGTGATTTAATTTTCTATTTTATGCCCGGGAAAATTACTAAAACATTTCATATAATAGGCGCTTTCTTGTGCATCTGTCGATAAAAATAATGTGACGTAAGTACATTGTCAAAATCTTCGATGATAAATTTTATAACGTGACTCATTTAGTTTAAATGACAATTTTAAACCAGATAAATTAAATATTAACAATTATCTCACATACTATTCTATGTATTCAATCCTTATGGAGGCCATTAAAATTTCAAAAGCTAACCTTGGTAAAGACCTTAACTTTGTATGGCGGCGTCAACGGCTTATTGTCATTGGTTCATTTATTGTATTCATTAATTTGACATATGATATACAAGCTGTGATTGGTTGAAAATTATTACGTTGTTCTACATATCTGACATAGATTATAAATATATTTATATTTTTCCCGCCTTTTTTTTTCTATGCTGATATAAATATCACACTAGTTGCTGCACACAATTTTGTCTACTAAATATGCCTTAATTTTCATTGCCTTATCTGATATATAGACTAATTGAATGTAAAAGTTTCGTGAAAATTCGTTTAGTTATTTTGTTAGTCTTACTAGTTGGATAGTTACATGTACGCGTGAAATGTAAAGCAAGTTGGCGCCGAAATTTCGTGGCAATAAATTAATTAGTTCTGAAATACGAAACCAAACTTGTGGATGTGTGTTTTGCAATCGAGTAATCCAAAAACTGTTAAACAGAATTGAATTAAACTTTACATTGCCAATTTAGTATTCTTTAAAATACTAACACAAGAAGTAAAATTTGAGTGAAAACTAGTATTAATAAAGTTATAAATAAGTTAAATACATTCTTTTATATCTGAATTTGAAATTATTATCTAAAATATAGAATATTCAACAGGAGAGTATGAAAAAAATAAAATAAATGGTACATTAGTCGGTTACAAGAACTTGATGTTGTTAGAAGTTTAGTTTGTAATTTGTGGCGTTGTTTTAAACTTGGACGTGTTATATAACGGGTGTATACATAACCTTAGTAGGTACTTCGTGAACTCCAAACTGATAGTCTAATAGTATTTGGTTTAGACAGAAATTATTCAATGTAGTATGTACGTTCTAAATGTCGGTATTTTATAGTATTGGGAACTTGTATTAAGGATAAAGAAGCAAATTGTTTTTCAGTGTCATTCAACTTCTGACTGATAGCGTTTAGGATATTAATGTCAGATAAAAAGTACAGTATATTTGTAATTTTTGGTCTCGTACATAGTAACCTTGCCACAAGTACCATAGACAAACTAAACGCGATAATTTTTTTTGCTAAAGGGGGCAATCGAGTAGACGGTCTACTTGATGGAGGTAGTACCGTAGCCCATTGACATTCGTAATATAAAAGATGTTGTGGATGTGTTGTTAACCTTGTTTAGGGAAGAAGGGGAGGAAAAATTGGGAAAGGGAGGGAAAAGGGAAGGGGTAGGTAAGGATGGGAAAAGGCATTCGGCTCTCTCACTCATCGGACGAAACGCAGCCACTAAGGCTACTTCACGCCGATCTTCTGTGAGAGGGTGGTACTTCCTCGGTCGAGCCAGCCCATGTTCGAGCTGTAGTAACTTGACCACAGCTAGGCTCTACCACCTAAAATTTTTCAATATTTCAGTCATATCAGCACGTTGTTACTATAATGTGAAATGATTTATGAATTTCTGTTCGTCTTGGCGATGTATGCACTTAGTAATAGTAAAGTATGCTTCTTTCATATAAGCGTCATTACTACATACTTACAGTTAGTTTTCGATACTAATATCTTTATACATAGTATTAACGTAGGTTATTGAATGAGAAACGGGAAACGCTACGTATGTAGTGACGGTTAAAACTTGGACTACAGACTGAAATGCAGATTTTTTTGCTGTAAAGTATAATTTTAAGTCTGTTTAATAGTTTTAAAATATAAGAAATATACATATGTTTAAAATATTATATCTTTATTGTTAGTATACGGCACTTTTTTAGAATTGACGTAATTTTAATGATAGGACTAAAAATATCAGTATAGAAATTCTCTCATAGATAAGTCGTAGGTTCGATTCCCGGTTTCGTCATAATCCATCATCATGAATATGATGTGTTTATTTACTTATGATGATTTTTAAATGTTCATCACCACTTTATATTATTATCATTCTTAAATTTGTTATAGTAATGATGGTGATGAGTTAATATTTGACCAACTTCGAAAAAGGAGT